TTTAAATTTAATTTTTGGAAAAAATAAAAAGGAAATTGCTGTGTTGGATGTTTTTATTGCTAAATCAAATTGTGTATGGGAATTCTATTCACTGCACGTTAATCATTAATTTAGTTTAATTTTTTTTTTGTATTTTATCTGTTAATCTCGTAATCATTTATCATGAATATTGTAAAAAAAATTACAAAATTAATAAATAATTTTTAATATTGTTTTAAATAATTTTTTATATTGAAATTAATTTAAGGCAAGCTTAAATAAAACGGCACAAATATATGTATATGATTTTTAAATTTAAATAAATTTTTAAATATTTAATTTCAAATTGATTGAATTGCCTTTTAAAAAATACTGAAAATTTAAATTCGAAAATATTAGATTTTTTACTTATATACAGTATTTATAAATTTATTAAAATTTTCATAATATGAAAATTATTCAAATTACATTTATAATTCCTTATAGAAACGTATATATATTTATTTATATACAGTATTTATAATATATAAATTTACATATATTTTAATTATAATGAAATTATATACCTTTGTTTTCCTAAGAATAATTTATTTGAATTTTAGAAAAAAAAATTAATTTTGTTTTTTAATATACACTTTATTAAGATTTTTTTTTATTTATTTAATATGCAAAGCAAAAAAAGTATTATTATAAAATATTTTCTTATTGAAAGATTATATAATATAAAGCTTATTTAGAAAACGCCGAATTTTATGCAATTCTATATTAAAATAGTTTGGAAAAAGTAATTAATTTGAGAAAATACAAAAAAAAAACAAATGAAATAAAAATTATATGAAATTTATAGATTAAAATAGGAAAATGGAATAAAAAAACGATTCATCGGAAAAAAATCTCTTAGATTAAGACACAAAAATTGTATATATAGAAGAAAAACATAAAGACTTTAAAGATTGTTGAAACATACTTGAAAGTAATTTATGTTTTGAATATAAAAAAAGTATTAAATTAACCCTTAAATTTCGAAGTAAAATTAATAAGTTTTTATTTTTACTATAATATAGTTTAATAAAAAGCCAAAAATGAAAAACTTTTTTAAGAAGAATATTTAAGAATATGTTAAATATTAATATTAAGTAAAATATTATGTTTTATTGTAACAGTAATTTTATATTATAAAAAATATTATTTTAATAATAATTCAAATATCTTAATATACAAAATATAATTATTATTAAAAAATATTTAGTATTATTAGCAAAAAAAAAACAAAATGAAACAACTATTATAAAATATTGAAATGAAACTTTTAATAGAAACCAGTCTTATTTAATTGCACCTGGGTTGTATACTCTTTTAACTGACCGACCTCATCAACGGTAGATGAACCAACTTAATACACATTGAAAATTAAAATAAAATGTAAGAAGAATACAAAATATAACTAAAATTTAAACTAGTTAAAATTGTATGCAATTTTTGAAAATTAAATAAAATCAGTTTCTATAACCGAAAGAATATGAAATTTTATATTAGTTTAAAATCACATATTTTAAAATTTAATTAAAATATTTAAGGGTTAATTGCCAAGTGTTTTTATCTTTTTAAAACATGTATAAAAATTTTTTTTTTTTTTTGTAATTCTAATATAAAGTTGAAGGTTATGCCATAAATATAGAAAAAATTCAAAAAATTTTTTGGTGCAAAAGTGATGTTAACACATTTTTTGTTTGCAAATAATTTTTGTCTTTAATTTTGCTTGTATATATAATATAAATTTGTCAAACACGTAATATTGTATAAAATGTTATGTTAGATAAAATTTTGTTTTTATTAATATGTATATATATACAATAAATTTTTGTTTTAATGTTGTTTATTGAGTTTGAATATGAAATTTTGTATTTTTTTTTGCAAATAAAATGCAATGTATTTTAATATATTTACCTAATAAATAATTTTATTATTGTTATTCAAAAATAATGGTAAATGAATTGAAAATATGTTATGAGGTTATTATAATAAAATTTTGTAAATCATATATATGATAATATTCACGAAAATTATGTGATGTATTTGCGATATTTTAAATGTGGTTCATATATTTTATAAATTTTTCAGTATAATTCTGTAAGTCTATAAATTTGTTAAATTGTCTATTACAAAAAATATTTTTGTTCGAAATTTCTTTTACGAAAATTTAATTTTTTATTTCACTAAATTTTTTAAAATTAAATTTAAAATTAAAAAAAAAAATATGTAAAACTTAATTTAAATAAAAAATAAAAATAAACTATAAATATCTCAATTATATACGAATGTAGGTATACTTAAAATGTTCGATATACAAAATTATAAATTATTTAATAACATTTTCATAATATATAAGATTAGAATTGAATTAAAGTAATTTGTGGGTATGTGTATGTATTTTTTTAAATAATATTTGCCCCTTTATATTTCATAAAAATTTAATGTAACATAAGTATTTAATGTAAATATTGTATATGTAATAATATAAAAATGATAGTAAATAATAAGTAATAGTTATTTACTCATAATACTTCATTTTGAAAATTTTTAATCTTCAAATTATTTTATTGAATATGAAAAATACTTAATATAAAAATTTATTTAAATTATAAAATATTCGAAAAAAAAATATGATTTTTTATTCAAAGAACTGGAAAATCTTTTAAAATTGTATATGAAAATATGAATTTTATGTTTATGACTTGAGTGATTTTTTTGAAGTGCTTATATAGTAGAAACATACATATAATGTGATGAAAAATCAAACATATGTATTTATAATTATAATATATAATATGTGATGTGCTATGGAAAGCATTTACTATTATTTATATAATAATATAACAGTGTAAATAATTTTAATCGGTTTTTTAAAAAAAATTTACAAAGAAATACCGTTCATATGCCATTAATTATGGCAACTCTCTAAGATGATAATTGTAAAATAAAATCTAAGATAACCATATCAATATATATGTATATATTATAATGCATGTATGTTAATTAATACGACGTTTTGATTATTGACATAAAATATGACAAATATTTTATATTTTATTAAAAAATTAATGGGAAATTCTCAATATGAAATATAGCTAAATCTTAAATTTTTTTTTCAAAATGAATGATTATATTAAGAGAATAATATAAAATGATTAATTCTATATATATTTATATATGTATTCTACATACATATATATATATATAAAGTTTTAATAAAATTCAATGAAACGTTTTTTTATACTGAAATATATTACGAATATTTATCTTTATATATATATATATATATAATAATATATTTTGTTAAAACGAACGCTCTACATAAAAGCGCTCTACAAATCTTACATATTTTTTTAGCATAATATCAAAATTTTGCAGTAACTGTATATAGAGCCATTTCATTTGTATTTAATTCTATCAATAACAAGGTATCAAAAAAAAAACAAAACAAAAACTGTTATACTACTTTATGATTATTATGCAGGGCAAATACTAAATTGTATAAAATATAACAAATCTATTCAAATAAAATACAAAATGATTAAAAAGAAAGAAAAAAATGAGGTTTAATTATAACAAAAAATAATATATTCAAATAAAAATATTATCTTTGTATTAAAATGAAATTTTATTTCTATATGAAATAAATATACTAATATTTTCTTACAATTTATATTCTTTATTTTTGAAGTTAAAATTGAATTAAAAAAAAACAGAAATGAATTTATAAAAAAAAGTGTTTTAATGATAATTTCACATATTGATAATTTTATTTATTTCTTTTTTTTTTAAATTATAAAATGTGAGTTAAAGTCGCATATAAGTGTTAAATAAGTTTTCAAAATACAGTCAAAAAAAATAGTGGGCTGGTGGGTGTTTTCATTTAAACCTTTTTTATTTTATTTTTTTCTTTTCTTTTATTATTTTTTTTTTTTCATATTCAGAAATATTTCCAATAGAATATCTATTGTTTAAAATTTAAATTATAAAAAAAAAACGTATTTTAATTTAAATTTCTTTTTAATAATTAATTAAGTTAATTTGAACTCTTTTTGTTATTTATTTTAATTAGCTTTTTCTATATAGTTGAAAATTTTCAAATGAAAAATTTATAGTGATTTTCATAAACACAATATACATTGCGATTCATATCGCAATCGGAATTAATCTCTGTTTATAAAATATTCATATAAGCATAAAATATTGAAAATCAATTTTTGTTCATAAATATTTCAAATTTATAATCAAGAAAAAAAAACGTTATACTGTGATGACAAGCACAGTCAAATCATCTGTATTGTTATATTTTAAATACAACTGCCAAAACTAGGCGTTTGTATATTGCGTGTTCTGTTTGCTGTATTGTTTGCTGTATTGTTTACTCTTATTGTGTTTATGAAAATCTCTAGTATGTTTATTTTCTTTTTGTCTTTCCTTACAAAAAACAAAACAATATTGTAAGGTAAATAAAAAACTATGTATACATATGCAAATATAATTAGATATAATATGACATTTATATAATGATATATGTATGATTTCATGTTACTGTGTCTACTTGTTGGCAAATAATTAATAAATTTTAATTTTATATATTTTATGTTTTTAATAATTTTCTGAACATCATATAGATATGTTGTATATGATATTTATATAGAGAATGTTTAATTAAAGAGTACCTTATGAATAATTATAAATGTAAAAAAAAATTATAAATCGAGTTTTGTAAATAATTTCATATGTATACATAGAAAACATTTTTAAATTTTTGTTTTATTTAATATTTGAGTTTAGTAAATAAATAACTTTTTTTTACTTATATTTAACTTATATCTGTGTTTTTAATATGACTTGATTTCTTGATATTAATATTAAAATCTTAATGTTTTTTTTTTTTTTGTTTTGTTGTTGTAATTTTGAAAATACGCTTTTATTTTTTTATTTTGTTTCTTTTGAGAAAGTTTTTAGATAAAGTAGTTTTTAGTTACCTGAGTTTGGTGATCGAGGGCAGAAATGCCCGTGTTGTCTAACAGTGTAGGGGAAGTAGGGCGAGCATCTAGCAACAAACAACATGAAGACTCGACATTTATCACAGCAGAGCAAAAATCACGAAAGTATAATTCACAAAACAAAAAAAAAACCAAAAAAAAACTAAAAAAAGTACTTTCAAACAAATTCTTTCTTTAAAATTAATGGTTTCCATTCAAAACGATTATAATTTTGTAACTTCTTTTACTTTAAATTTTTTTTTTACGTATTTATAAAAATTTTAAATTAATTAAAAAAAAAAAAACAATTTATCAAACAGTCAATCTACAATAAAGAGTTTGGATTTTATTAAATATTTTTTTATTTTAAAAAAATATTCGACTTTTTGATTTTTGTCTTTAATTTTCTTTCAACAGTTTAATTTCTTATGGTAAATTATTAAATATACGCATAATATTTAATAACAATATACGAAATTCAAATATTTTACAAAAATTTTATATATTAAATATTAAAAATTTAATATTACATATACATTTACATAAGAAAAAAATTAAAACATTTAATTTGTTGTAAAATAATAAAAGAAAAAAATTTGAATATGCACTTATATTATAATTTAATTTAACAATTATTTTATTTAATTAAAACATATTCATATATATGTAATATAAAACTACAAATAAATATACTAAATATTAATTTGTTACTATGCATATAATATTGTATTCATTGTGTTAATTTAAAAGAGAAAATAATGTTACATGTAATGGTTTGAAAAGAAAATAACAATTTTAATATCAGCGTATTTTGACATATTTTTGGCATTTTTATTATTTAGTTTTTTTTTAATTAAATTTCTAATATAATATACAAATTTATATGTTGTATTACTGTTATTGAATTTAAATGAAGATTCAAATTACGGTCTTTAATCATTGCCGTTCAATTTGATAGTCGTCATTAATAAATGAATTATTAAAACTAGTTGCTATAGTGTATTGCACTTTGTTCGTTAAATTATGAGGAAAAGGCGACTGATGAAACCCTTTATCGTTCAATCATTTTTTGTTTAATGAAAGGAAAAGTTTTTATTAATTGAATTTAGTGCGGCTAAGTAAAAATATTTCAGTAAAATTTGAAATTAAAGAGATAAAGATGAAAAAAAAAGCTTTTTCAGCAAAAAATCAAAATTAAAAATAATTTTTGTTTAGAAATTAATTTAGATCTTTATTTTATAGGCAAAAAGCAGCAGTGACAAAGAAAATTTTTAAAGATAAGAGATAACATTTTACATGTTAAAAGAAGAGGATTAATCCTTTTAAAATAAACTTAAAAAAAATTGAAATAAATTTTCAGTTTTGACTTTTTGATACTGACAGTCCATCTAAAACTTTAAAAAGAAACAGTAGTTTAATAAATTTCGTAACATCCGATAAGTTCATTTTTTCTCTCATTCACTTGACAATGATGACAACGACCTGTTTTAGCAAATTGTTAAATTCAAGATATATTAATAAATGCATATTTATGAAGATTAAGAAAAACCAATTATAGTTATATTAAATATAATCATATATAAATTGATTTTGCAAAATTTATTATTTTAACAAGCTAAATTGTTATGCGATTGAAAATAAAACAGGCAAATAGTTTTTGGAATATTCATTAAGATTTGCTGGAATAATTTTCTATTTAAATTACAATTAGAAAATATTGAATATAGAAGTGCACTGCAAAATATTTGTTCTTATTATACAATCTATCTAATCTATGAATTATACAGAATTTTTGAAAAGTGAGTTTAAAAAGCGTATGCCTACATGTTTCTACATGTATACACTTAAAAAATGTAATATATATACGTATACATATAGGAAATTCATCCATATATATCATTGATAAGTGTTTAATATTTATGTAACCAGTTTTACGAAAATGTAATTATTTTTTTGTATAAAATTATCTGATTATGTAAGGATATTGTGATATATAAGAGTTTAAAATTTATATGTATAAGAACCTTAAGGTATGGGTATTGAAATATCGCAAAACATGTGTAAAATTTAATATCAATTAGTATAATAATATAAAAATTTAATAAAACGAAAATAAAAGTTAAACATTGATATAATTTATTGTTTCTATACAGCGCATAAAACACATTGTAAAAATTACAAAATTTAATCTACTATACATAAAATGTAAAGTAATATAAAAATGTATTTATATTGTATTTATATATAAAATAATATAAATATGTTCTATTAATTAATATTATGTACGTATATATAGATTTTATTTAATAATTAGAAAATTTTAAAAATAAATAAACAAATAAAAACCAAAAATGTCTATAACATCCAAATTATATTTATATTTTATATATAACGTAACATTTTATAATACGGTATATCTGACTTCCATAATTGCAAATAAAACGTAAACTTTGCAAAATATCATGTTCCATTGCAAATAAAGAGACATCGACAAAACTTTCCGTTTCATATTGTTTAAAAACGTTTTTAATTGCACAAGAAAAAGTCGTCAAGCTATCAGAATGTATTGTAGTAGATTTTTATTAAAAGTAGTATATTTACTTGTTGAAAGAAAAGGTTCCTACTTTACAAATCATTGATTTGACTTAACTTTACATTGCAATTTTTGCATAAATTGTAATGAATGAGTTCAGGATGAATAGTTACGATAAAGGGAAAAAGTCATATCATCGAGTCATATGAACTATGAGGGGTATTTTGATTAGCGCCGAACTTTAAGCTGATTTTTGACAAAATTTTTCTGCTGTTGGATAAGTTCTTAGAATAATACGACTCTAACAATAGATTGATATTATCTACGAAACTGTAGAGTTTGCAATATTACAATTTCGCTCAAAAAGCTGCAGTTAAAGAGGCATAATTAGGAGTAAAAATAAATGATTGAAATTAAATTCCAAAAAAATTTGATGGTAAAAAAGTTCTTTTAACAGCTTTATGATGTGGTTTTTTATATTAAGAACGTGGAAGCCAGGATATTTATTCGAAAATAATTAACATAACATAATTAATTTATGATATATCCAATATAATTAAAATAATATGAAATATGGGTACATATAGATACACACTTTTATTGTAAATTGACTATAGTTATAATTTTTTTTACTTCAAGTTTTAAAATTGATTTACCGGATTTTTACATTTTAAATTAAAGTTTAATTTAATTGTATATTTATATATGTTACTTTTTTAGTTTTTTTTCTTTTTTTTCTATTTTGTTTAAAATATATATATAAATATATGTCTTATGTATTAGATAAACCATATCAAAATAAAAGAAATATTAAAAAAAAAGTGAGTTTTTCCTTATATGAGTATAAATAGTTTTTTTTTTTTTGTTTTTCTATGAAATATCAATATCATTTATATAAATAAATATATATAATATATAATGTAGTATATAAAATAGAAAGTTTTGTTTATATGGTGCGCACACATTTAACACTTAAAGCATCCGGCGTACTTTTACTTTATATATATATATATATTTTTAATCATTTTGGAAATTATGAATGATATATGTACGTATATATATTGTACATATATATGCATGTATATTTGCATCTTATATAAATATATATATATATAGATATATATATATATATATATATATATATATATATATATGTTTATATAATAAATAAGAATAATGAAAATACTAATTCCCAAGTATATATACATATATAATAAATTCTGTCTTATGAATGTACATATATACCTTTATTAAAATACATAATATTATATTAGATTTAAAAGTTTTTTTTTATTTTATATTAAAACGTGTATGTGTATGTGTATATGCATCACTCGTTTTGCATAAAATATAGTAAAATAATCCAAAAAATATAGGGATTTCCGCAGCTTGCCGTAAAATATTATGAAACGCCGTACTATTGCACTACAGCAAAATTTATATGCAGTGAAAATTTTTATGCCTCTTAAAAGTGCAAATTCTCTCTACAAAAAATTATCGTACTCGCAAAAACTAAGAGTAAAAACAAAAATGATATTTAATTTTCGCATTGAAAAGTTTCTATCGACCGTTCACTAACTTAGTTGAAGAACATTTTGTTTGCTTTTTCCTTTTTTTTACAATAATAATATCAAGCTGCCGAAACCCCTTATGATTTTTTTACATAAAAGATTTTTTAAAGAAGTTTTCAATCTATTTATATTGCAAATTAAAAAGAAAACAAAGCTTTCTTATTTTTATAATATTTTTGTATTTAATTTTTATAGGAAAATAAAATTGGAAATTGTAGTTTTTCTTATATATTATAACAACATATTATACTTTTCAGGTTATATATATTACTATATAAATGATTGATATATATATACACACACATTTAAACGATATATCAAAACATAATAAAATAATAAAAAATTATAAGAGACTTATATTTTAAAAATCCATTATAAATTTTTTTATTTGGCTTCGTTTTAATTAATAAAATACTTAAAAATGTTGGTTATTACAAGTTATATGTATATATATGTATATATTTATAATATATATATATACATTTATAAAATATACATAGTATGTTGTAGATTAATATTAGAAGAATTTGTGTGATATTCTTTTCTTTCGAATAAATTTTTTTAAGTAAAAAAACATAATTTATATATTTATATTAAATTATATAATTAAAATATAATATTTTAATATAAAATACATATTTATTTTGTATAAAATATCAGGAAAAGTTACTCATTTTATATAAAAGCAAGTTTTGTATTTTATTTGTATAAGAAAGAATTAGTTTTAAAAATTTATATAATTATGTAGTATACAAGAAATCTACTTGTTATAGAAAATAAAAGAAATATTAAGAAAAATAAAATAATATTAATGAATATTAAATTAAATTTTATAAATAAGAATAATTCAAGGGAATTAATCTTATATATATAACTATATAACAAGATAATAAAAAAAATTAATCCAGTTTTCCGATAATATTAAAATAAAATTTAACAATTTCATTTTTATATATCACAAATTTATTAAAAAAAAGTGAAAAAAATTTTCATTTTACTCTTTTATACAGTATATGCACATAAACTATATGATTGAATTTGTTAAATTATTACTTTTTATCAAATAATAATTTAATAAAACTTAATTTTATTCACTTTTCAGATAAACTAGTTATAATATTATGTAAAATATGTATAATATGATTTTAGAAATTGAGCAATTAATACAACATATTGTATAATGGAATTTCTATTAAATTTTTTTTTGTTTTGAAAAAACGTTTTAAGTTTCTAAATTAATTTTACGATTTAATAGTTTTATTGTATTTTAAAAAAAAAACATACAAATACACTTTTGAAAGTACACTTGAAAGTACATTTATTGTACAATAAGTTATATTTTTGTTTTTAAATTTTAAAATAAATTATATTTAATTAAATATAAATATTGAACATATGAATTTAAAGCCTAACTAGGGACAAAGCCTAGGCTTAGGGCAAAACCAAGAGTTTTTAAATATTAGTTTAAATTTTCTTATGAATATTTTAATTCTTTGAATGCATTTTGTGTGTTTGAAATTTTTATATTACATTAAAGATTAAATTATAATGGCCACAGTTCATTTAAAAATAATTTATGCTTTTGCAAAATTAAACTAAATATGTTTCTCGATTTTTATAAAATAGTAAAAAAACAATTGCAGGAAAAGGTATTTTCACAATAATGTGTACTTTTATACTTGGTTGGAAAAAAATTGTAATATTTTTATAAATCATAATTTTTTAGTATTACAAAATATCCGAATTCAATATTAAAAAAGTCAGTCATAATTTATAAAGTTCTATATAAATTAAATTTTGATGAAAAATTTTTATAATAAAATTCAATTTCATTTTTAGGCCATTATAGACGCAAATAATATTGATAAATGCTGGTACTTAAAGATATTTTTTAATTGTATTACTAATAAATATTGTAATTTAATTATCTTTGATAATTTGTAAAATACTGAATACCAAATATGTATAAAACTGAAAATGTATACAACTTTGCTTGTTTCTTTTTTAATATTCGAACGTTATATAAAGAAAGATCATTTAATTTCAGCTCATTAAAAAAAATGTAGGAATTTCATATTAATTACATAATTTTTCAAAAGTTTTTCAAATAATTTTTGAATATCTACAATAATATTGAGGTATTTATATAATATATTAAGAGATTTAAAAGTTATTTTTGTACAAAGTGTTTAAATTTAATTAAAAAACAAAATAAAGAAAAAATAGATAATTTTTGATTAAATTATATAGAAGAAATATACATAATTAAATTATATAAACATACTTGTTTGGTTTTGGATTATTTAAAAAATTAAAAACAAAATTAAACATTAAAAAATTATGACAAATATAGTATAATAAATTTAATACAAAATAAAAATTCATATACTTATATTTTTATATTAAATATATATATACGTTTGCATTATATATTTTTTAAAATTATAAACATTTTAAAAATAAACTAAAAATAAAATCAGTTTTATTATAATTTTTTTTCCTTTTTTTATACATAAATATATGAATAAAAAAAAAAAGCCAAAAATTTTTTATTTGAAACAAGAAACATACCTTTCCTTCCCGGTGGGCCTCTTTGATTCATTGCGCCAGGCATCATATTATCTCTAGGTGGTGGTGGTGGTCCTCTAGCTCCAGGACCTTGACCTCTACCTCGATTATTTAAATTACGTTGTGCAGCTACTGGTCCACCTGGTCCCATTTGATTACTATATTGATCTGGAGCTTCTGTTAAGAAATTAGATGGTACAAGACCTCTAACACCATCTAATTCACCCATATAAAATCCATCTTCATCCATATCACCATATACAAGTATTACTTCACCAGTTTTGAAACTTAATTCAACTTGCTGTGTTCATAAAAGAATATAAAAATTGTAGTTTAAATATTAATATTATTTATGTATACACAGGTACAATAAAGAATTTAAAAAATATATAAGTAAATCCTTGAGTTCCATATTCCAAGAATAAAATGTTTACACTACAATGTTTCAAGTTTTATATTTTATACCAATAGTTTTTTTTTTTTCTTATTTTCACGTTTCATATTTTAAAGTACTATTTGATTACAATGCAAAACAACCTTTTATTAAGAGAGTAATATGAAAGGTTTAAAGTATTAAACGTAATATTAAAATTTATCTTTTCCAATATGAAATTCAAGGTCTATGATTTAAAATTTAATTTAAAAAAGTATATTGTGTTATGAAATGAGAATATATATTATATAATATTTAATGTACGATATATTTATACATACAAATATATAAGTATATTTTTGAATTTAATATATATAGAGTTTTGTTTTAATAGTATAATATAAATTTGAGTAGTGAAATTTATTTTAGTTAAGTTGATATAGTTAAATTTTTAAAGTGGGAAAATCTATGATAGTTTATAATATAGAACTGACATAGTACATATATATATTTAGTATATTTTTAAGAAATTGTTTTCAATATTAAAGAGTATATTTTGTTTACATTACAAAATAACAAAAAAATATAAAACAAAAATTAAAATTCTCTTTTACATTATTCAATATGAATATATTTAAATAATTTGTTTACAATTTTCAAATAAAAATAAAAAAAAAAATAAAATATTTAAAGATATTATTATATTAGGTAATTATTTCTTATATATTTTTCATGTTTGATTTTTCTATGGTGTTTAAAAATTCATTTTGTATAAGTTGTCAAGTTTTTTATTTTGAATTAATCAAAATGTTCTTTTATATTTTTGTTTTATCATATTATTTATAATATAATATGGAAAGCTTACATCAAGGTTCTAAGCAAAATTTCATCATCCACCAAGGATCCATTCCGGGATGGGATTATAGGGGGAAAAGTTAGAAAACATCATTATTATTTTAATTGAAAATACTTTTGTTGATATTTTTTTTTTACTTTTTTTTTTACTTTTAAGAAATAGCATGCATTTGACATTTAAAATATGTTTTTACATGCCCTTCATCTAAAATTTAAATGGACATCTTAAAAACATTTATACAAAAATTATTTGCTATAATAATTCTTTTTTCTCTGTAACATAGAATATTTTAAAGCGCTTTTTATAAATCTATTATAATTGAATTATTATTCAAAATGTTGAAGAAAATATAATTTTACATATTTTGAATATTAAAAAAAAAACCAATTTTATATAATGCATTATTATATAAAATTTTTATAACAGTATGAAAATAATTTGAAATATTTTGTATTTTGATTATTTATGATTCAAAGAAGATATACCTAAAACTTTAGTATATTTTTGCGAGCTGGCAAGTTTTTTTATAATATCTTTATAAAATATTATTCAATATAATATTAAAAATATTTATTATAATAAAAATATATATATACTAATATATACATAGAATAAATTTGAAACATACAATATATATGAGGCAAAACATTTACGCTAAAACAAATATATATTTAACCTATAGATATACATATATGTACATATAAATATTTAACTTTAAACTTATTATTACACATTTAATGATATATACATATATAAAATATTAAACTCACTTCAGCATCTACATTCGGACTAAGTTCTTGTGGATCATAATCATACATTGCTATCATACGTTTAACTGGCATATTAGCATAAATATCACCCCATCTGTCTCTACTTACTCCACGAACACTTTGTTGTGTTGTTTGTGTTGGTGGTCCCGCAGGACCACCTTGAGCACCAACTTGACTTTCATCAATTTCAGTTACCATATTATGTGGAACGTATCCACGTCGACCTCTCAATTCACCCCAATAGAAACCATCTGGATCTTTATCACCATAAACCTAAAATAAATGCAAAACTTTTAACTTTTGAATTAAAAAACAAAAGGACATAATACAATGATTCTTTAAATAACAAAAAATATTGAAATCGTATTTTGTTTAAAATAAATTAACCTTAATGGTATCACCCTCTTGAAAAGGTAATTCTTCTTCACATCCATCCGGATTTGGACTCATTGTACTGGGGTCATAATCAAACATAGCAATGAAATATCTAGGTTTCTTTTGTCCTTGCTGTGTTTGCATAGGACCCCTTTGGGCGGGCATTGGTCCTCTTTGATTTTGATTACGTAATTGCTGTTGTTGTTGCTGTTGTGCTGTTGGTCCTCCAGGACCATAATATGGTTGATTTGGATTTTGTGGTCGTATCTGTTGTCCACCCATTTGTTGTCCCATAGGTTGTTGGCCCATTGGTTGCTGACCCATTTGTTGTTGTCCCATTTGTTGACCCATCTGTTGTCCCATTTGCTGACCCATCTGTTGTTGCCCCATTTGCTGTCCCATTGGTTGTTGCATTCTTTGACCAGGTTGTTGGTAACCCTATTAAATTACAATTTTAATTATTAAACTTATTTTTTCAAAATTGTATTTTCACATAAAAGATTTCAATCCACAATCGTTTTTTTCTCTTTTTTTTTTTTTTATTTTTCTTTTGCAGAAAATAAGAAGGGAAACAGATAATAACAGTTACATATATTTCGTGTGTACATATATAAGCCAATTACATAAGTGTGAGTGTTTAAAATATAACTTAAATATTATAATTCAAAAATAAAACAAAAACAAATTTGATGTGTTTGTAGGTACAGAAATTAGAAATAAAAGTTAAAAAATGCAAAAATTTTAAGTTAATTTTAAAATTTTCTAATTACATACCAAAAATGAATAAATAATATAATAGTTTTATATATTTTTAGTGAGATTACATATTGTTTAATGTGATTATTATAAAAGGAATATTCGCACTGGTTCTAAAAACAAAAAATAAATATTACACACCATACACACAAGAAAGTTGTAAGAGAAATTGTGTATATTAAAATTAAAATGATTTAGTTTTTTACAGAATGTTGTTTGTTCAGTTTTCATAAAATCTACTTGTTTTTTCAAATGAATGGATTATTGTTAATAAATTTTCTTATATCTAAATTTAAACTATAAATTTGTTCCTTACAATGGGTGCAATTTTAATGAATATTTCCTTCTTGATTTTTTTTTTAATAGTTCAAGCAAAATTTTTGTTAAAATAATTTATAACTTGTGTTTTATACTAAGTATTTTATGATTAAATTTTATTACATCTGTTTAATAAAAGAGAATTCTTGAAATAAATAAAAATATATTTTGTTGGGGAAATTTGTAATATGAAAAAATTTTATTGAGTAACTGAATTGTAGCAATAAACAATAAAAATTTAATGATTTTAATGCCTCTATGTCATAAATTGAAAACTATACCGCGGTATAATTTAGTCATGTACATGCAATTTTAATGCTGAAAAATGGAATTTATATAATGCCGATTTTCAGTTTACAACAATAAGACTTCTTAATCTCTATAACTTATAATAAACAAAAATAATTTATTTAAATTATAACAAAAACCAAATAACATGATATTAAATCGGATAAAAAATTAAATTACTTGAAAATGTTTTGAAACAAAAGTCTATCTCGTTTAAGTCAAAAAAGACTTTTAATGTTCTTATATGACTTATACTACGTATGTATGCGCATTAAAAGAAGTTTTCTTTATTTTAAAAACATCCAAAAACTGCAGATTTGGAAAATGTTACTCGTATTATAACATCTTGATTTTCGCTTTAAAAATTGAAAATTCATTTTTATTTTTTGGAAATGATAGAAATATATGAATTTAAGTAATATTAGCGTCAAAGAAGTCGAGATATAAAAGCCAAGCATAAGAAAACTTATTCATAAGAAAATATTTGAGTTTAATTATTTTTCAATTATTTAAACAACACTACGATAACTCTAATTTGTAAGGTGTTGGTTTTTATGCAAAATTTTATTTTAAATGTTTACTTTTATTTGTAATGTGGAATATGTCTTTTTTTTAATAAAATAAATAATTGAACACAATTTTTGTGTAAAAAGTTTCTGACTTTCATTCAGAAATTAAAAAAAATTATGATCTGTTTTTGTTTGATATACAAAAACTTTGGAAATGTACATATATAGTAAAATAATAGTTAATAATAATAGTATGTATAAGTATAGTAGAATTGAAAACAAGTGAAAAAAATAATTATTAAAATAATATTGTGCATGAATTTCGTTTTAACTTATAATTATTTTCAATATTATTGATTATGCATATTTTTTATTAATATACATTCATATTTAATATAAAGGACATGCATATTTAAGTAGATATTCTTAATTGAAATTTTTTAATTAATAAAAAAAAAATTAAGATTAATACTTAAAGTGTTTACATTTGAATAAATTTATGCAATCATATCCTAAGATAGTAGAAATACAAATATCATTAATAATTATTATTATATTTAATACTATATAGTTTTATTTTACAATTATTTCAGTATATTACGTTATTTATGTACATAAATGTATAATATTGTAAAAAATTCCGTTAAATATATAAAATAATAAATTGTATATAAATTGGTATTTTTATTCCAGTTCGGGAATGTCATTTTGTTTGGATTCAATGATAAATCGAAAATATAAAAATGAATAAATATATAAAAATTTTTAAAACATAATTATATGAGAAATGTAAAATTGTCAAATAAAAAGAAAATAAAAAAGCTTAAAAGCATAATTTTTCTTTTTCATAAAAACCATGAAAATTTTGCGATCACTCATTATGTTTTTTTTGCAAATTTTAATTTAATTTAAACAAATAATAATACATAATTTACGAATAAAACAAATATGCTATGGAATCTTTCAAATTTATAACTTTAATATAACTTAATTGTAAGACATAGCGAAAATGTATATGGTTTTAGGACAAGGCAAGTTTTCATAATTTTTATGTTTCGAATGGAAGGGGACTTTCGATAATGCAGATATGCTTTAGAACTTTTAGCACGCTACGATTTCCGAACATAATTCTTTTGTAGTAGATAGGTATTTATCGAAAATGCTACGTCTTTGTAGTTTTAATTTATCGAGCATACTTTATATTATTAGGATCTAAACTAGAACTGAATTTTTAAAAATCCCGGAAAATAATAATCTAAAATCTATTTCTATTAAGAATAAATTAAAAATAGTAATATGCGCACATAATTATTGTACGATGTTATAGATATTGAGTTTAAATTGAAGTAAAAAAAAAAAGGGGAATTTTTCAATATTATAAAGTTAATTGTATTAATAATATGCAATTAAGATTTTGGTAAAGTTATACATTTGAAAAGAATTCCTTCTTTGAGAACGAAAAAAGAATTACAAGTATTTCATCGCAAGCTTCTTTCTAAAGTTTACACTATATTAAATATTTCTTAAACTGTTTTCTATTATATCAATTTAAATTCAAGTCGTTAAGAAATAGTCTGCATTTATTAAGGAATATAATTAAATAATATAGCTAATAATAATAATAAAAGTGACATATATATAAAGGTTTTTTTCTATATAGCATTAGATCTCAGTATCTCACAATAATTCTCACAAGCAATATTGGATATTTAATTTTTCTTTTAATTTATGAGTCTACTGACTTTTTCGTTTTTAATGATTTTGGTTTTTTGTTTGTTTTTTTATTTTGAAAAAATGAAACCTTCCACATCAAAAATACTTAATAGGAAACATTAAAAATAAATAAAAAATAAAATAAAACATCTAGAAAATCTTAAAAACACATCAAAAATATCACAATTTAATAATTAATGTATATAGCTTCGAAGTTATAAAAGAAGCGAAAACAACTATATAGACTCATCGTAGCGTATTCTATATAATATTTTTAAGGCACTCAGTATTATAATTTCTGACCTGAAGCCCGGGTGTCTGTTGATTTAATTGCGTTTGCTGTTGTAATTGCTGTTGTTGTTGAGTTAATGGCTGCTGTTGCTGATACGAAAGTGGTTGATATTGTGTTGTTTGTGGTTGATATTGAGTCGTTTGTGGTTGATATTGAGTTGTTTGTGGATGATGTGGCTGCGATTGTGATTGTTGTTGTTGTTGTTGTTGTTGTTGATATAAACTCAGACTTTGATCATTTTGGTATAAATCACCATGAAGACCTAAATTACCATCTTTAGTAATTTCAATTGCAGGAACACCAGTTCCAGTTGTATTTGGATATCCAGGAGCATTTGGATATTTAGGTTGTTGAGATTGTTGAGAATGTGACTGTTGTTGCAATTGCTGATTTTGTAATTGTTGATTTTGTAATTGCTGTTGATTTTGATTTGCCGTCTATATTAAAGTTTAGAGTTCGAACCAGTGGTGTTTATATAAACAAAATGAATAATTTTTTTTTTAAAACATAAATACGAAAATTAATTTTAAAATACCACATTTAAAATTAGTTCACGTTTAAAAATTAAAAAAACAAGTCAATCCAATTTAAAAAAGAAAAAAAAAACGAATAAATTATTTTTTTAAGTAATAAAATATTAAGAAATATGTGTAAACTTTGGTACATTTATAAAAAATTTATGTTATAGAATTTTATTTATTTGTTCCTGCAATAATTTCTATAAAGATGAATGTGAATAAAATTAATTGTTTTAAAATGTGATATATATTATGAGTTATGTTTAACTATACATACATATTAAATAATTTTACATGTTTTAGCTTGTAGATCTAAAGTTAAATAAAATTCCATTTTTATTTGTAAATGCTAGTTATAGCGGTTAAATACATTTTTTATAGTAACTACTACAAATTATTTATGTACAATTAAATATATAATCGTTATATTTTTAATTTTAATTATACATATTTTTCAAAGTATTATACATATCGAATTAAAATTGAATTTTTTAATTATATTTATTATGCAGATTAAAGCTTTATTAATATAACACTAAACTTTACTTAAGCAGATTATTTGATTTAGGCAAAAAAAAGACTTATTATTTCATATAGGTTATATAAAAATTGTATACTACTTATATATTTAAGAATTGCTTTATTGATTGATCGAATTAACATTTTGTTAATTTAATTTAATAATTAATAAACAAAAAAATAATAGCTATAATAATTTATTAAGAGTTTATTTTGGACATTTTTTAAATTTTTTGTTTAAAACTTTTATATCAAAAATTTGGCAAATGTGAACATTATTATAAGACCGTTCATTATTTTTAAACATTGTTATGTAATACACATAATGTATGTTACATATTTTAATTTTTATATTAATTTACAATTCTAGCATTAAACAAAAGGATCAATCAATTGAGTTTTATTTATAAACTTGTTTAACTTTTACTATATAAATTACATATATTATTAATATGAAACAAAATGAAATTTGAAAACATTTCGTGCGTTTTTCAAATAATTTATAAATTTATTTGTTAGACGGTTTTGTTAAATTTTCTTGTATAAAAAGATTTGCTCGATTTTTTCGCTATGCCATTTATTTTTACACTGCGTACTCAAATCGTACGGTTTCTGTACATAGGCTAATAACGCTAATTAATTAACAACAAAAACTTCGAAATTATTATTTTACAATGTTGTCAATTTACCAAATTTCATTCCATTTTTGAGATTTCTATTATACTTCTAATTTTCTTATTTTTAATTGTTACAACTACTTTGCAGGAAAACATAATTTTTGCCTCTATAATAAAATTAATACCTTAAAGGAAAAATTCTAACTCTTTAGACAAAAATAAAACAATAATCTAATAAAATAAGTCTTTATAACAGAAAATACTAAAACAAAATCAAAAACATATATAAAATCACCTTCCAACATTAAATTTAAGGTATATAAAGACACTGTCCTATAAGAGCAACAATAAGTAAGAGCCACAATATTTCTGTTAAAGAGCTCAGCGTTTCATTTATTATGGAAATGTTTTTTAAAATGATTCGTTTTCTTATATATTGATCAAGTATACAGTTTTAATATTATTTTAACTCTTACATTTTTTATCTACAATTAATAGATCTACAATAATAGAATTAATAAATCTACGGTACAATTAGTAGTATTATGAATTTGGTGGATTTTTTCCATTAATTACAAAATATTTCAAAATTTTTTCTTATTTTGAATTGAGGGTTTTTTCCATAAACCTTTTACGTGTTAAATATTCAGTGTACTTCAATTAAAAAATTATATTCAAAGAGAAAATCTCAAAAAGAAAACTGCAACAGATTTTTCCTTAATGTGGTTTCAATAAAAAAAAATATCTTGACTGAAAGCGAAATATTTAATAACTTGTCAGTATTCGAATGCTCATATCAAATAAATTTTAATTCGTTTTTATAAACTATAATTTTATAATATTCAATTTTTTAGAAAAACTTACTTAATAATTTTAATTATCAATATGCATTTACGCAATAATCTTATCAAAAATTTATTATTAGCGAAATACAATATTACTCTTTATTGACGAAATACAATATTACTTGACCTAATTTTATCGTAAAAATATGCATTACTTGAGCTAATAAAATATTATTTAAAAAAAATGAGATGTTCAAAAAATTTTTAAATAATATGCCATTACCTCAAGTAGCATATATAGAAAATATTGTTGATTATAAAAATTTAAAGTATTTTCTTCTATTATCCTTTATCATTTCAAAAGATATATAATGTTGGTATATACATAAATACATTTAAGTATATGCCTACTGAATTACTAATATAGTTAATGCTCAACATTTATTTACTAAACTAAAATAAATATATATTACATCATTATACTTTATTTATATTAATTACAATACAAGTACTTATAGCTTCTAGTTTATGATTTTTACTGATTATTTTTTCCATTTGATTACAGATTATCATTTAATATTGAAATTAAAATATTTTATTTATTAAAAATATTTCATATAATTATATTTCTTTTTCTTTAAATAAATATGAAAATAAATAATAAGAAATAAATTAATTAACAAAAAAACTAATGGTTTTTTTAAACTTTATTTTTAAAATTGTTAAATACTTTAAATAATTCGACTTAAAAAAAAAACATAAATATAAATTAAAAAAATTCTAAAAAAGAAAATAAATATACTTTCTGTTTAGTTTTGTAAAACTGTTATTGTTTATGTATTAATTAAAGGATTGTTTCTTGTTTTTTTTTTTGCTTTTTGAATTTTTTTTTTTGTAGTAGGTTGATGAAAGAAAACTTACGTTGGCTTGTGGTTTTGAAAAGAGGCCTCCAAACAGCCCTGTAGTCCATTTACCAATACCTGTATCAGTCTGTGTTGGATCAATTTTATATAAGTTTGGAAAATGAAACATATACATATTTAGAAATATATAAAATGTAAAGTGATTTTGCTTTTTTTTAGTTTCTAGTTTACAGTTTTAATTATCTATAAGTTTATAATGTTTTTGTAATGAGGCAATATACATATTAATAAGGGAAAACGAAAAAAAAAAATAAAATTATTTTCTGTTTCAAATTATAAACAATTATTTAAAACATACAAAATATATTATAATAATAATTATGTAGTATAAGTTTATTGAGAAAATTTTAAAAAAAAAAAAAGTGAACACTCTACATATCGTGATTGTAATGTTTTCATAGCAAGTTCCTATAACTAGAGAATTAAATGGAAAATAAATATTAACGGAGCCAACACACTTCTATGTATTTAACATTTGTGTTGTATTTTTTCAAAATAATATTTACAAAATTTTTTGCCCCCAAAAATACATATTAAATAAATAAATATAATTCATTTGGTTAGTTTAGTAAAATATGCATAGCATTTGTCAGCGATGTAGGTATTAACAGAGAGTTTTACATATAGGATTTGGCAATAGATCCGCTTGAATGGCGATACTTTGTAACCACGAATTTAATTCAGTCCAATTTCATTAAGTGCTGATTCACGTCACGAAAGTAATTTATATTAATAATACTTTGTATAATTTCAACAGTTAAAAGATTTTAAAAAAATTTATGAAATTATTTTTCTAATTTATTTAAAGCTATATATGTATAACTTTATTATTAAAGGAAATAACTTTTTGTTCAAAACGGACAGCGTTATTTTCTATATCACAACGGTTGAAACAAAGAAATTAAAAAAAATTCTGAAATGCTTTTAAAAAATATTGGAATTAGATTTTTTTTTTAATTTTAATTCACTGGATTTTTTTTTTATTGCTGCAGGTTTAACAATTTTTTTTTTTTTTAAATTTTGATATTACTTAATAATAAAGTTCGGTTAAATCAGTTTGCCTTGCAAAGGAGCACTTTTCTCTTAACCAAGTGAAAATACTGCTTTTGAAAACAGTAAATTATTTAAATTGCTTTAAGAACAAGACAAAAAAAAAATAGAAAGAGTTGTTAAAATAATGGAAGAAGAATTCAAGGGTTAATTACGCGGCTTTGTAAAAATAATTATATTTTTTGATGGAATGGTATTTGCCGTTAATTGTCTGCATTTATAAAAATTAGAAATGTTTGCACTTTCGGATACATGAACATTTCGGGACGATAACATACTTTGTTACATAACTACGGAATCTAAATTTCTAGTATTCATTTAAAGATCTATAAAATTTCAACTTTCTACCTTGAAGGATGTAGAAGTTTTGCAAAGCGATACAGAGCCAGACAGATGGACGAATGGACACAACGAAACTAATAATAATTTTAATGTATTTTAATTATTTAAACTGAATGTCTACTTTTTAAAAGGCCCTTGAAATATATCTTATAGCCAAATATTTAAATTACAATCATCGATGTGTAGTGCATTTGATATAATAATGAAATATTCAAACTGCAAAAATATAAATTATTTTTTTAGTTTTTTTTTTTATATTTGCAAATATGCTGCAATGTAGCTTTTCTTTTACAAAATAAATAATATATTATTTAAAGAAAAACTATTACATTTCTTTTTATTAATATGTATTATATAAATAAAATAGAAGCAAAATTCCAAAAGTAAATTAAAGAAATTAACAAAAAATAGGTAACACAAAGTAATAATAATAATATATAAAAATAAAAATAATTAAATATTTATTTTATATATTCATATAATATGTATAAATTATTCTCATGCTAAATTCATAAATTTTCTAATTGTTTTTTTGCATATATATATATATGTTTTAAATTCTAATTTTTTTATAATTATTATGATAATAATAATAAATATATTAATAATAAATATAATTATAATAATAAATATAATATTAAAATAAAGAAAATTTACTCCTATTAAGTTACATACGATCGGTATATAATTTTATAATTAAAATAATATATAAAAATTTCATATATAATTATAAATATGTTTTTTAAATACATACATACATTTTTTCAATAATACTGTCATTAAACAATAATTCCATAATTTTTTTTTATTTATTAACTGTAATTATTAATTGTTAGGCCTTTCTTATCCTTTAATTAATTTTATACGTTATAGATATAAATTTCGTTTATACCATTAATTTTTGACTATAAAAACTAAAACTATTAGTTTTTTGCTCTGTTATTGTTTAAGATATAATTAATTTTTATTTTTGATAATGTTTTATACGAATTAAGTATGTATAGTAAAAATAAAAAATACTATTTTAATTTTATTTTCACTTTTCTTAATATCAAAATCGTATACATGATATACTACCATGTAAATGAGGACTGACTACCATAATTTTATTTGCTTTGTTTTTTTTTCGATGTTGAAAAATAAATATGTGACTCTTTTTATCAACAAATTAATTAAAAAAAAAATTGATGGTAAGCATTTCTTTAAAAAATGGAATTTGACAAAAAAAGTGATGGTGGTTACTTTTACTTTAATTTTTTTATTTTTAACTTTTTTTTTATACTAAATATGTAAATTCTAATTTAAGAATAAAGTTAAGTGCTGTTTATATAATTATCAACTTGTATATAATTATATTATGTTAATTACAATTTAAAGTGGATGTATGTAAGTATATACGTGTAAGTATGTAAATAAAAAAATTATATATAGCTGCTTAGCAAAATATTTTTAAAAATTTAAAAATTAAAAATAAAAATAAATGTCCTCTTTTTTGTTTTGTTTTAAATTTCAAAATTTTTCCAATCTTACACATTTTTATTTTTCTTTTTTTTTTTATCTTGCTAATTTTTTGCAGATAAATAATAAAAATATATATTCCTATGTATATAGAAAAATTATACATTGAAAAAAAGCGAAAAAGCATAACTAAAATTTATAAAATATTAAAGTAGAAATAAATTATATTTTCTATAATATTAAAATTTTTGGTTATTTTATTTTTTTCGTCTTGGTGTTAAATAAAAGTTAAGTTTTATATTTTTGTATTTTAAAATTGTGTATAATTCACTTTAGATAATATCAATGGTGCCAAACCGTCGCTTGTCAACAAATGTTTTAAGACGTTGTATGTCTTAACGTTATAGATATACTCCAAATAAAGTATACTCAAGAACTCGAAAAATTAAGCTTTCAAAAAAAATTTACTGATGAATTGGATCCTGAACAAATATTATAATTGAATGTCAAATTTCAGTCAATTCAGTTAATGTTAGGAGAAAATCCCTTTCCTTTATTTCCTTTCACTTAAAATAATAAAAACTACTGAAAATTTTTTTTCTATATTTAAATTTGTGCTTTAAGAAATATTAACTGAATGACGATCACAATATAGTAATGATTGAATTTATTTGAATATTATTTATATATGTATGTGAGTGAGTTTACTTAACTTTCATTTAACTTTTAAATATTATATAACATAAAAATGAAATAAAATGAAACTTATAATTTTGAATTCTAAGCAATAAAAACAGAACATCTTTTACTGGGAATTACTAAAACTTTGAATTTTTTAAAACTGACCTGTTGTTGTTGGCCTGGTTGCCCAGGTTGCATTTGTTGGCCAGGTTGCATAGGTTGCATTTGTTGTTGCATTTGACCATCTTGCATCATTTCATCATGATGATCTAACATCTGTTGGTTCATTGGAACACCCGGTTGCATAGGTCCCTGTGGGCGTATTGGTTGCATTTGTTGATTTCTCATATGAGGTGGTAAAGTACTTTGAGGAGCATTACGTCTTGCCGCAGTTCGAACTACATCTAAAATAAACAATTTTTAAGTGCTGAAAATTATTTGAATAATTCATAAACTTTTTGATGATTTTATACTTGGAATTGGAATTGGTGCACTATCTGCTGATTGTGAATCGCGTGATTTGGTTCTAACAGTGACTGCTCTTGGATTAAGTCCAACTAATTTTCCTATATCTATTAGTGCATGATCACCAGTTGGTGAATCAACGTCGGTAACCTTTTTACCGTCAGCATAAACTGCATAACCGGTTACAGGTCCAGATTGTGGTGGTCGATTAACTGGCTGCCATGTTACAAGTAATGTACCATCTTGGGGTCCAGCCTCAAGTTGTATTTCCTTGTAAATACATAATTTAAGAAATTAAAAATTTTAATATGAAACAAATAATAAATTTTAATATGAAACAGATAAAATTACAAAAAATACAGACTTGCGGTGGATCTGGCAGTCCTTTTGTTAAGGTCCTAAAATCTGCATATGCTCCAGGAGCTTCTTCAGGTGGTGGTCCAGGCGGTGGAGCTTGTCCAGGTGCTCTTAAGTGTTTAGCTCTAACAGTGACACGGTATTGAGTACTTGGCGCTAAACCAGTAATTGTGTGACGATAAACTCCGGGTTTAACCGTTCTTACTTCTACATTATTTACACAAACTACATGTTGATGATTTGAATTGGCTGGTAGCCATGATATTACAGCAGATGAACACGTTATGTGAGTAGCTCTAACAGCAGATGGTCCTAAATGTGCAGTGTCTCGGCCTATAATCATTGTGCACGCCGCATCTCGTGAAGTTCTACGATTTATTGTTACACTTCTTACACTTATTCTATGTGGCTAATATTTAAAAAAAAAAAATATATATATATATATATTTTATATGCAAAGTATGTTCGCTTTTATATTGTGCATTAAACTTACCCGTGTTGAATCAACTCCTTCCACAAGTGCTCTAGTTCGTTCATTTGCTTTAACAGTTACTTTAAGGACATTATCTACATATACATGATAACTTTCAATATTATTATAACCAGGGGGTTCAGCTGGTGACCATCCAATTAGAACACTTTTATTCAACTGCCTTTCCAACGTTAAATGTTTTGGAGCAGGAACTAACACGGAGAACATAAGAGTTACTGTGGGTCAAATCGTATAATAATATCGATAATATGGCTTGTTTTTCAATCGTATATGTGTCACAAGAATAACAAAATACTCACTTACTATATGTATAATATATTCACTAAACATTAATCTATGTGTTATATTTACAATGATCTAAAATATTTATTTTCCATATTTTTCAATTAAAATTTGTTCGAGATTGAATATATTTTGAATACAATTTTAGGTTAAAGTGCTAAAATATTGTGTTAAATGAAATTTTATCACATGCTTTAGAACAAAAAGTATTGTTTTAATAATTTGTGTTTTTTCACTAGCCAAAACCAATTATTGGATTTTTGCCCTAGCAAACAATTATTTCTGTTGTTTTTTCATTGGTAACATTTAACATTGATATAAAGTGACACTTATACATCTTACGTAATATACAAATAAAATTTGGCCTATATACCAACGACAATTAGAAACTTCTCTAGCACTATACATTGAAGGTCGTTTAAACGCCCTTATTTTAGACGAGTGAATCGAAATTTGTTTGTGTGAAAAATAAACTTTTTTGAATAGATCGTTCTGTGAAAAATGTTTTACTTGCAATAAAAAATGAAAAATATACCACACAAATATAACCTGTTGAGCAGCTAAAGCATCCTTGCAATTAAATATTTTGATTTATATGAAAATATTGAACTCAACTTTTATCCTTAAAATTAAATGTAAAATTCGAGCACCTTAATAGAATGATTTCGGAATTATTTTCGTTATAAATTTGAAATAAAAAATGTACATATGGAAGTACATATATTATCCCATTGTGTGTATAGTAATAAAATGAAAAAATTATAATTCACTAGCGCCCTATCGAAAAAAGAAGTTTTTTGTGTGATTACAAAAATTGTTTTCTGTATATCACTATAAACTATAAGACACAAGTAAGCAGCATATCAAAAGAACTATTGAGGCATTTAGTTTACAACAGATTATACATTTTCCAACGAGAGTAACCAGTTCTTCTTCTACACTTATAGATTATGTAAATTGCTCTTTACCTGAAATTAGTCAAATTTGTGTTGAATGTAGAGCTGACTGTTCGTTATCAGATCATCTAGCTATTGGAATAAAAATCGATGGGAATGAAAAACATTATTTCGAAAAAACAGAAATCCACTCAATCAAAATTGATAAAGAAAAATTGGATAATTTTTTGACAGCTGAACACTTTCAAAATATTTGTTGCATCGATGATGTTAGTGTGTGTGGAAATTTATTTAAAATTACTATTGACAAGGCAGCAGAATTATTTAAAAAGAAATTTTTTGTTGGACCAAGTAAACAGGAATGGTTCAATAACGAATTAAAAGAATTAAACGAAAATAAAATAGAAGCTTATAATCGTGCAGCAATATCTAATGACGAAACCTTATGGTCAATTTATAAAAATATTAGAAACGAGTATAATTTTAAGATAAAGTATATACACAATGATTATATTTAAAGTCTATACAGATTCCACAGCAACGATCACAATCATTTTAACAATTTTTGTATTCGAATACTAACTTTACTTTACGAGACTCTCCCCGTGTTTAGTAAAAATATTTGTGGAATTATGAAAGAAATGTAATCTTCTAAAATAGTTTCTGTCATTCGTATATAAGCATAATTTCATGTTTTTGAAATATATGTAAGCCAATTTTTATTAAAAACTTGAAATTTGTCATTAAAATATTGAAAACTATATCTTTTACACTTACTACTATCAGCCTCATCTTCTGTTTGGTCTGGACCAAAGTCTGTTGCAACTTCACTTAATCTAGCTAAGTCTTCAGTGGTATGCGTTAGTAAAGGATTGTTGGGCGGTAAAGGAGGCAATGGTGCTGGATCTAATGGTATAGGAGCATCATCTGCATCTCTTAACGTTGAAAGTACAGCCTGATGGAACTCCAATAAATCTTCACCTAATATTTTAAAGATAACAATTAAAATGTAAAATTTTTTAAACTTTTAGGGCAAATCAGTATTACCTATCAGCCTTTGAACAAATGTTGCTGGAACTAAACCTCTTCTTCCGTCAAGTAATTCAGCATCAAAATAACCTCCTTGTGGTTCACCATTTCCCCATACTAATAGGTAATCACCAGCACAAAGTGATAATTCGCCCTCAGCTTCTCTAAAAGTTCGTAAAATTACAAAGTAAATAATATTAATTTGAATAATATTGAAAAAATGAACTCTTACTCTGGTGGATCATATGTAAATCGAGCAATAAAAACACAACAACGTCCTTTTCCTGGAATATCAAGCATATCTACAGTTGGCTCACCAGTTCCATTTAAAGCAAAGTTATGACCTCTAGCTGCGTTGTAAGAAAATTGGTTATGATAAATTAATAACTATATTATTATTAGATAAATTAATTAACTTACTATCCAGATCTAGCGCACCAAATCCATAAGAACGCTGTGCATGCATATATGTTGGATTGACTGTATCACTGTAACCATCTAAACCCCATGGTGGTATCGGGGAACATGGTGAACTACGATTAGCAAAACGTCCAACAGCTAAATCAATATCATCTAAAGTTTTGAGCTTGCTGCTTAATATAGGATTTGTATACGTTGGATAAGATGAACTAACACCATATGATGATGGCAAGGACCCAATTAGACTAGATGAGATTCCGCCGCTTAATGGAAATATTGTTGGATTTGCCCCAGCAGTTCCAGTTAATCCAAGTACTGAACTAGCTGCACCAGTTCCAATAACGCTACTAATTAATGGATGTGTATATGAGGAAACCGCTGGGGCACCGCTTAAACCTAAAGTATAACTTGCAGATCCTGATGGTAAATTGTATGAATTGTGGAGTGATAGGACGGGCATTGTTGTGCTCTGAAATATTTTTGTTATAAGTTTACGGCGTATTTTAATTTTAATATGTTTTCAATAATTAATATTATAAGTATGTATATATTAATTGAAATTTATTTAACGTCAAATAATTAAAAAAAAAATAAATTTTGATGATTGTTTATATAATCTTGATTTTATGTTGTTTATAGTATATTAAGTCAAATTTTATTAAACGAATTAACATTTTTTGTTTTATTATAAAATAATTTATTTTTGATAAGCTACAAATTTTTTGTAGAATATAGATAAAAACTTTTATTTTTGTTCTCAAAAATTTGGGGGGTTCAAAAATGTATATATAAACCCGTTTAAAAGTACTTAATATTATTTTTAGTTTTAGCAATATTTGCTAGCATCAATGAAAAATTAATACAAAATTTCGAAAAATAGAAAAAACCTTTGTTATTCAAAAAGATTAATTTCTTTTCCAATACATAAAAATTTAATAGAATTTAAAGATATTATTAAATAAAAATGCTTGAATTTAAAATATGAAATTTAAAATGACATCTAGAATTAGTAGAATATTCATTAGTAAATACTACCGACATACATAAGTGAACATTATAGTAAATCTTTTGAAGTTGAAAACCAAAAGGTAACAAATATTTAAAAAAAATATTTTTGTTTTGGTCTTTTACGTAATAATAAAGAAGTGTGATAATCAATTGTAGCCTCAAAAATAAAGTATTTCAATTTTGTTTTGACTTTTTATGTTACATATGTTAGATTACAATATGATTGCAGTGTTTTTCTAAAGTTAATAGGATGTGTATTATATTTATTTTTAAACTATAAAAGTTAACCTATAATTTTACCCTTCCGAATTAGCATCATTAATATACCTATAATTCTTAGAATTAAAATAATTTATAATTATGAATATTTTATATTAAGAATTTTTGTTTTTTTCTTTTCTATATAATGTTTAATATTATAATAGAATGCAATATATAATTATTTAAAAATTAATAGTTTAAAACTCTCTAACTATATAATTTAAATATATTTTAAAACTACACTAAATAACTTAACTTAAAAACTTGTAATAAGAAAAAAACAATATCCAAAATTTAAATTAAAATTTAATTTAATTTATTTATAAATAGTAATGTTTTAAGTTTTTTATAAATTTTATATATAATAATTTTATAAACTTCTATGTTTTGTTTTTAATCAATTAATTATAATATATGTAATTATTATAATGTTGTCTATAAAATATTAAAACTTTTTTTTAAAAACAACATGCATTAGGTATGGACAAAAGAACAAAAATAAGTTGTTTAATTTCACTTAATGATAGTATTAAACTGTTATACAAAAAAATAAATTTGAAAACAATTTATGATTTTTTAAATATGAAATTATTTCTAATAATTAAATATTATTTGGTATATTTTTTATGTTACACCTTTGCTTAAATAATATATAATTTTATTTTAACCAAATCAAGAAATACTGATGTAAATCGATCCTAAATGATTTCTTTATATTACGTATAATATTATGAGCGTGCGCTTATTTAAAAAAAAATGATTGGATCTGTATGCTTATAACTTTTGCAATTTCTACCTAATATACTTTTTAAAAATTTAAATCTATGTAACTTAATTTACAACATATACTATATTAAATAGTTATATAAATAATGAATGTTTAAATGATTTTAATTGCTAAAAAAACGTTACTTTTCTGTATATTGAATGGAAATGCAAAAAGATGAAAGAAGCGAAAATAACCTTATTCAATAAAGGAGTATATATGAACATCAATATACACATGAACATACATAACAAATTTTAGTATATATATGTGAAATATTGTTCATAGTATACACCCTTCATGTACATTGATATAGATATTATATATAAAGTCTTATATATATATATATATATATATATATATATATACGTACATATTTGTATATATATGTTTTGGTATATGCATACATATATTTATTGAATATATCACACCTGACTTAAGGGTGGCATGGTCGTTATTGGATGCGCCCTCCCAGGTAACGGTGATACATGAACACCACTTGTTCCCGCCGCTAATATTTTTTCAGTTGCTGATGTAATACCACTTAAAGCTGTTGTATCGATACCATGACTACTTATACTTGAAGTTATTCCTATTGAATTTGTGCCACCTATACCAGATATTGCTGAACTAACACCACTAACCCCAGTTATTCCAGATGTACCAGTACCAGTTACTGATGATACATTTGCACCAGTTAACGCTGAACTTAAACCTGGAATACCAGAGTAACCACCTGATATGCCAGATGTATAACCATGAAGTGAAGTATGTCCAGTACCTTGTGTCGTATATATTGATGATGTTGGTTGAAATGATACACCACTGCTAACACCACTGCTGACACCACTTATAACACTAGTTTCTTTTCCAATTGTAGATGAATAACCAGATATTGAGCTAGATGTCATTATTGAACTTGGCAATATGGTTGATGCAGTATTTGTTGTACGCGGGTGCTCCAATTCAGCTAAAATACGATTGTCCTATAACAAAATATTGTGAAAAAGGATCACGAAATGAAAGTTAGAAAAAGTCTAATATATTTTTTTGCTTTTTTTTTATATTTTTATTTTGCATTTCTTTATTTTTTATGAACTTCATATAAATAATTCATACTATTTGTATAGAAACTAAACTAATAACAGTAATAATAATAATTGATTATAAATCAATTTCAAAAAAAAAAATTAAATTTAAAAGAAAACTCTAACATCAAACTATTTTTATTATTAAATTATAATAAAATACATATTTAAATTTAATATTTAAAAGAAAGTAAAAAATAAATAAAAAAAAAGCTAGAACTTTCAATACATTTAATATAATATTAACTAAATATTAATGATTGATTTTAAGGAAAATTTTTATTCCTGTTCTAATTTTTCTCTCTATATTTTAAATTTTCTAAGTTTTTTTAAACAAAATTCTAAATCTAGCGATACCTTTAAATTTATATAATTGAAAAAAAATCACGTGCTTTCAATTTTTGTAGATTATAAATTGTGCATGAATAAAGGAATATATTTAACTAAATTATTTAAAACTATGTAGATATTACATATGTAAAGCATTCCGTATATATAAATTTTATGTAAACATATATATAAGTACTTGATTTCAAATATTTTTAAAATATTATTAAAATACTTATATGTTTTATAAAAAATTAAAACAAATTAAAACGAAGATTTACCAATTTGCTGGGTTATTGCCATTATTAACCAGCATATCTGAGACCTAATAGTTAATTATTATTAATAATACATAAATCCTATATCTTTTGTATATGTAATCTCTGCTTTGTGCTTCTAGTAACGAACAAAACTACACGAAATCGAAATAATTTCTACGTCTGTACTTATTTCTCAATTGACCTAATTAAACTTTATTTGAGTAAATAAACATGACATTTACGTTACAGTAAGATTTCCTTTGAAAAGTATAAAAGAAATCATTTGTATAAAACAAATCATGAACTACAACCCTTAACAAAATATATGTAAGGTACTGCGTGTTGTTTTGGAAGAGTAATAATATAACTTTATTACTCAGTAAGAGCAACGAGTTTTCAATTAGTAATACAAAACTATCATTTGTATTCCTTAAACACTGCTCTGGTTAGTTTACTAATTGTTCTGAAAATGCCAAATTTCCAATAATTATTTTTATTTTTTTTTCAAATTTGCTCTGATTAGTTTTTGTGATTTTTTATTTATAAAATGGTTCTAATATAACAAAGTAAGTGCGGTTGCACATTCCTCTTAAATTATCAACAAGTAAAAGTTAACAAAATGTATTTTAGCATAACCAGATAAGTGCAGTTTTTTTGCTATTTGAAAGCCAAAACTTTTCTAAAGATTCGATTGTGAGATACAATATCATAATTTTATTTAAAAATTCGATTTCCCTTGAAATTGCAACTATATCAACTAAAAAATATTAACAACTGCAAACTTGTTAGATTTTTGAAAATCATTGTATAGGAACTATGCCGTTTTTAAATAAAAGATCTACTTATTTCCAATTCGCTAGTGTAGGTACTCTTTACATTATTTTGCATTGTGATATCTGCCTATCACACACGGTAATATTAAACTATTCTTATCGTGGTTCTTACGGCATAGTTTTCGTGGTTATATTTTCTTACAAATCAAAGAAAATGATCAATTTTTGTTTTTTTTTTTTTTCAAAACAATTTCAAAATAATTTTTAAGTTATATTGTTCTTTTAAAACTCACAGAACTTATAATTAATTATCAATTTCTTATTTTAATAGGCGATTAAAATATTTTTAAAATATTTTACTTAGTACGTGAATTTAAATGCTCTATTCAATGTATTTAAATATAATACGTCGTAGGTGCGTACCAAATAATATACTTCTAAAACAAAAATAGTTACCTACCTACCTAATTATTTCATACCAAAATAAAAGAGTATAGATTATTGAGTCTAATACTTTTCTATTTAAATATAATAGTAATATGTTGGTTTAAAGTTTTTGCGCAATTTTAAATTAAAATAAATTTAGCTAATTAAAAATAAATAAGATATTTTTTAGACAAATAGACTGCTTAAGCCTGCCTCGTTTGAATTGAACTGAAATCATTTGATCTTTAAACAATTTTAAATTGCTTAAAGTAAACTAAATATTGAAGAGCTTATAACTCTTAAAATCAAAAAACCTTAAAAAATAACACTATAATTCCATAATAATTAAATATATTATTTCAAATTAAAATAAAATTTAGCATGCCTTAGTAAAAAACAACTTCAAAACTCTACATGCTATTTATATAAATCTAAAAAAAATTGAATTGAATAAAACTTTGGTAAGGTAGGTAGGCATGTATGTATGTTTGTTCTAATTATTAACAATGAATGTAATATTTCGTAACACAATCATTTTTAATTTCTCTATTTGATGTTTCTAATCTTGTAAGTATAAGGTATAATTTTTATGTCAAATGGTAAAAATTTAGTAGTTGGTTGGATTTAAAGTTTATTACATACTATGTACTTATGGTATATGTACATACTATGTACATACATGTATTAAAAAAATTTTTTGTTAACTTCACTTTGTGTCCTACAAACTTTTTGGTTTTACGAAAATATAAAACGAAAATTAATTTTTTATAAAACAGAAAAAAAATTAAAAAATAAAATTAAGTAGGTACTAATAAATCAAAAATAAAAACATTTCTAATGAATCTAATACACATACGTTAGCAATTGATAAACGTGCCTGTTCAATCTTTGCCATTATTTTGTCGATTTCAGAACCTTGACTACTTTCACTTGTAGTAACTGCAAATGTTACTGATGTTGTTCCTGATGTTGGCGCCATTGTTACGGAAGTTGATGTTGCAGTCGTTGAAGTTGCCGAAGTTGTGCGTCCAGAACGAGACTTTAAAGCTGAAGATAATTCCAACTGAAGCTCCTCACATCTTACTGTTTCTAATGCGGCCTATACACATATACATATACATACGATTTTTGTGATTATTACGGATTCTTTTTAATTTTATAAATATTTAATTATTGTTGTAGCTTTTATTTTCGAATTAATAAAACTTATTTAAAGCTTCTTATTTTATTTCTGAAGGCATTACAACTTTTTAGTCAAATTTTTAATAAGTTCTTCCCAAAAACAAAAAAAAATCTAGCACATTATGAGATGATTTGATGATGTGAATAAATGTAACGGCAATTTGATTACTATGACATGACAAATAAATGATAGTCAGTAAATCATGTTATGACAATTAGATGATAATTATATACAAATGACAATAAGTACATCAAACTTTATGCAAATACAGTATGTAAACAAAACAAAAATGCAAATTATGTGCGAAAATCGATTCTCAAAAATTCCAAGTGCTTCTTACATTATTTAATTAGGATACTCGTATAACTAAGAAGTCGACTGTCTTAAATAAAGCCAAAGTAACTGCAATAATGATTTTAATATGTAGGTAATAAAAAAAAGAAGTTAAACAAGTCACCAGCGTCAATTTACTGTTTACCTTTTACGATAACAAGAAACCACTGTCAAATTTTCAAACTAATACAATTTTGTATTACAAAAGAAAGTAAAAACAATGCCCGTTCGATCTATTCTGTACATCTTTTCTATAGCTGTGGTTTTTCTTCAAACTAAAACGAGTGAAAATTTACCTTCACAATACAAAAAACTTTTGTATATAATATGACGTCATAATTTGAAAGCTGCGCGAAATTCAATTTGTGGCCACCTCTCTAAATCTATCTAACGCAACCATAGTTATTTATATAAAGTATAAAATCACGGAAGATTTAATTGGAAAAATAATGAGCGATTTTTTGCGGCGACATGTTGAAATTCATATGGTAAGTTCATGCTGTTCATCCACTATGAACTCAGGTCCCTCATCACGTTAACAACAGAGCAAGTTTTCAAACTGTTAGGCCGTTAGTGGACTAGTTACTAAAAAATTTTAATGTTTATGGGCGTAGCTTTATAGTATAGTCTAAAATCGTATTTTACCGCTTTCGGTTTTTCAACATCATCTTCCATGCGTATGACATTATTATATACGCAAAATTCTAAATCTGGAATAGATTGGTGCGTCAGTGTAGCAACGAGCTGATGTCTTTTAGATGAATATTTGCATTTTTGACATTTTATTTTTATTTTAGTACAGCTTTTTTCTCTCTTTCAAAAACTTGAATCAACTTCAACTTTAGTACGGAGCTTTTTTAAAACGTCAAATGTTCATGTACTGAAATCCTATCATTACATGATCTGTCAAAAAAGTAAAAAATGTATCACTGCACTTGTCAAAAAAAGTAAAAAAATGTATCATAACAAAAAAAACGATCAGTTTTTTTCAGACGAGTCAACGAATTATCAAGGGAAAAAAAGTTCGACATTAAATAGCTCAAATCCGAAGAACCAAAAAATCCAGTTTAAGCAGTTGAGAAATGAGTTTACCATTCGTTGTTGTTTTGGTTTGACTACGGAAATCATTCGCCGTTGCCGTTCACCACCTAGGCTTTGCTTTTACAACTAAAGACACTGCTTTTTTATACCATAACCTACTAAAAGGTTTGTTTTTAAATTTAGTTTAAATTATTTAAGAAAATATTTGAAATTTCAATTCGTACTTCGGGATAATTTAAATATGGATTAAATTAAAGATAATAAACTTACAAAAATAAAATCTGAATCAAATATATCATAAATATGCACATGTAAGTTTTCTTGATTGAAATTTATTGCCAAGGTATTTTTCTTTACTCATATTTTCCACGCAGCTGTTAGAAAAAATTAAACCAGCTGAACTTTAATAACTATGAAATAATAAAGCTTAATGAGACAATAGATTACGGAAACCAACACCAATAATACAGTAACAATATGTTGCATAACAAACAATTTAAAAATAAACTCAGTTCGGAAAACATCCAGGTAGCTAGTTTTTGAACAATTTCCTGTAAAAATTGTTCCGTTCTGTTAAATATGACCTTTCTCCAGTTGCAATATGTGTCTCTAACTTACATATGTATCTGTATAAGGGCTGTGTCATAGAGTAACAAATATCACATGTTTTACAGGAAATTGAAGATTCACTATTTTATATTTAAAATCAATTAAATCTTAGGTTCGGTTTCCGAGAAAAAACTCGTCGGTATAAAAATTTTTGTTTTTTTCTAAATTTCTAAATTTAAATTATTGCAATTTTTTTGTTTTAGATGCGCTTCCATGAGAAGTAACAGCACCTACAAAATTTTGCTTAGTATCTAGAAAGGAAGGAAAGAATTTACAAACAAATTTCAAATAAAAAATCGTGTATTGTTTTATAGGTCCTTGGAGAAAAATAGTATCTTATTGTATGCGAAAATGATCGCAATAGGAAAACGACATAATAGTAGTGAAAACTAAGCACCTACCTGTATGTACATATGTATGTATCAAAGTACAATAAAATATTGTATTTTATTGGAAAAGTTACATTAAAATAGGGAATTATTTAACTCTTATCTCATGATAGATGCAAGGGTCAATTACAATAAATAAATTAAAATATATATAATCATAAAACAAAATTATATTTTCATACATACAGATTATATGTATGTAGATGCATTGCAAAAAATGATTTTCTAATGTAAATTAATTCGGCATAAAATTTTTTTCGTAATTTATAAATGAAATTATTCGAATAAGTTAGTATAAATAGAAATTCATAATTTGCCTTTCATTGATATTTTACATACATAGGTAGATATATTATGTACATATATTTTCTAAGAATATCATTGTACAAGCACAATAGTCTTTATTTATTTTTTGTATTTTTTTCCAACAAATATTTATATTCTGTTTAATTTCATATAAGCATCTATGATTTTTTGGGGCGCAATTCTGCTTATATTCGAATTATGCGCTCAGATCTCAAGGCAGGCTCAGGTCTTCAGTTTTCTCATAGCTATTAACAAATAAGTTGCTGCAAATGTGTACATTGTATCTTATAACACGTTAGAATAATAAGATTAATTATTTACGATAAAATATAATTTTCAGTTAAAAAGCTTAAAATTTTCTTTCATATTAGCAAATATGAAAAAAATTTTAAAAGCTTCATCAAGAAATTACAATGTGCATATACATGTAGCTATTAGAATTTTTCCAAATTTACTTAACTTTTGTTTATATAGCCATCAAAGATTTTCCTAATAGAAAAATTTAAATACATACATTAATATGCTCTGTTTTTTCAAACTTACTTTTTTTTATGAAACGTTGACTTCGAAATCAATTTTGTATAAAATAAATTCAATATTAAAAATATTACATACATGACCTTATTATAGAAATGCAAAAATATTTGATCATTTTATCAAAAACAAACAGCAAAAAAGGATAAATAAAAAATAGGACATGAAATCATTAAAAAATAATGAAATTTTGACACGAAATTGAAAAGCGAGCTATTTTATGAAAGTTAAAAAAAAAATTTGAACACTTGCTTTTTTGTTGTAACTTAAATATAATATACAATGTATATAAATATATACAAGTACACTTTATATGATAAAATAAGAAAGAAAAATTTTTATGTAAGAACAAAATCAATTGAATTTTTTAAATTTAATACATACAAATGACAATATAATTTTTATGCAATAATAAAAAAATTTTTTTATATACATATATTCAAAATATTTAGCAAAAAAGATAGCAATGAACATCATCTTAAGCTTTTATAACTTATGTTTTTTGAAAAAAATTTTATTAACACGATCAAAATTAAATTGAAATAATGAAAATGCTTAAGTGAAAGTACAAAAATAAATTACAAAAAAATATAAAAAAAAATTAATTCAATCAATTACATCATAATTAAATTTAAGAAAAAAAATGCCAAGTTTATTTTTACGCATTCATGGACCTAGGGGATGGGCAACCAATTATTCTGGCAATATATTTATGAACCATGCATATTAGAAATGCACATTCGCATATTATGCTAAAATAATTGAAAATGTGGCGCATATCCCGAATATAAAAGTTTTCTTTAAATTTGTAATTTTATTATAGTTACATATATATATGTACATACATATTTTAACAGCACCATTAAAAAAAAAAATTAAATAGCCCCTTCGTCGGCAAATGCGTTAATAATAATATTATAAACATGGAAACCAAAAACATACATACATATATTAAATATTTACTTCTTATGAACTAAAGTTTACATTTTTAAGCAATTTGTATTCTTTCTTTTTTTTCGTTTTAGCATTAATATTTTACGGTGATAAATTTTGTTTAATAAAGAAAAAATAACATAAAAAACAACGTGTTATGTAATATAGGTATATATACATTATGTAATGAATGCAAATATAAGTATATATTATGTCGAAATATATACGTATGGAGGATTTAATTAATTTACTAATTTTTTTCCCTTTTTCAAAATATGAAAAGAGATGCTATTACAGAACAACAAAAAAAAAAAATGAAATAGTACACTGAAAAAAATATTTTTTTTAATTATTTTTGATTTTTTCAAATTAATTATAGATTTGGATGAATATTATATTAATTAATAATTATAATTGCATATAATGTACATATTTGTATTTAATTAATTATGTCAACCTGGTTTAGAATTAAATTTATTAATTTAGTTTAATAAATTAAACACTAATTTGTTTAATTAAACTTAAAGAAGGTTCTTTAGTAAAATTGACGTCTGTGCTTTTAAACATTTTTGTTTATTTTAGTTTTAAAATTAACTAGCTTTCATTTTAGTTTTTAATTTTCATATCTTTCTGTTAATATATTAATATATATTGTGTTATGGTGGAAATTTTTACTAATAATAATAATTCTAAATATTTACAACTCGGAGTTTTACTAATTATAATAACTAAAATTAATTTAAGAATATATTTTTCACATATACCTTCAATATATTGTTTAAAATTATAATACTTAATTTGAATTTTTTCGATATTGAAGTTCGAAGTTCGTTTTAACTCAAAAACAATTAAAAATTAATTTATTTTATAACTCCAATTTACTTTAATTGGAATTTTAGAATAACTCAAAATTATGTATTTCAATGAAAAATTAAATTTCGAAAATGAATTTGAGCATAATTTTTATAGAATTATAATTGTAATCATAATCAAACCTTTAATACACAATTTAATATTATAAATGCAGTTTTCTAACACATAATTAATTAATCAGATAGGTTTTATATGTAATATAAAAATTAATATTAATATTTCTGCTATTTATGTATTCGTTTCTATTCTTGTATATGTAATTAAAAATTTAATGAAAAATATTTTTATTATGCGTTTATAAGTAAATGTATATAATAGTTTTTTAATATTAAACAATTTTAAATGTCCCTTTATTGTTTTAAATTAAAATTTTCAAAAATGCATGTTTAATATTAACTTTATATGATATGATAATATTAAAAATATTTTGAAATAAGAAATGCTTTTCTTTTTTCCCCATAAATCTATACATAATTTTATTAAAGAAAGCATTTCTAATCAATTTGTTTTATATTAGTTATTTTTTAATATCATTCGCAAATTAATTGAATTAAAAAAATTAAAAAAAAAAAACATTATATCTATTTTCTTTTCCAATAAATTCAATTGAAAAACATGCAATTTTTTGTTATATTAATTTTTTAAATAATTTTAATAAAATTTTAATAATATTTATTGAAAATTTACTTTTAATATATGAATATAAAGTGAATACGAAATTCGGGTTATTTTTTTTCAATTAAAATTTGAAATTAATAACAATTCGAACTTTTTACTATTTAATTAACCATAATCTTAAGTTAACAAATTTAATGTACCATATATTTAATAGTTGACTACTTTTAAAATTTTAGTGCATAAAACAATTTTAAATTATAAGTATTTTTTAATTATAATTCTAATATACTTGGTTTTTAAAAATTAAAAATAAAAAGGACATATTCATGTTAAAATAATGAAAATTTGAAAGTTTGAATTATCTACCAAAATTAATGAATTTGTAGTTTTGAAAATTACATTAATTTATTTAAAAGTAATTATTCACTCTTACAAAATGAACAATTAATGAAATTCAAACAATAATAGCTCATAGTACGTATTACAATACAAAAGTTAAGTATTGTATATAGGTAGTTAGAATAAAATTAATTTTGGAATAAAATGTGGAAAATATTAAATGAAGTTCTCACTTTCAAATATAAAATGAATAAATAATGACTAACGAGATACGCAATACGCACTTCACTTTCTTCTCACTCGGTGAACAAAAAGAAAGCGAGATACACGATGAAGCTTCATACAATTAATTTCATCGACATACGTTCCACAAGCTATTATTGATACTAAGTAATTGTATTGTTTTTTGTATAAATTATAAAGATAAATTCGTTTTTCTTTTACATAAATATGAAAATAAATAAATATTTGTTTTACATTATTTTTTACATAATACTATATTGATGTCTGCAATTGAATTTTTTTGCAATTATTTTGCAAGGTGTGATATGAAAAATAATTTTAATGATATTTTGATATTGTGTATCTTTGTGTTATTGAAATTCCAGTAAATGGGATTAAATATATATGTTTTATGATAAAATAATATTTTAAAAAAGTTTTTATATAATTTAAAAGTATTTAATTTTTTAAAAGAATAACCTGTTTTCATATATTTCAATATTTTTGTTTTTCATTTTAGTAATTCTTAATTTAATAAATTGTAGTTCACTATAAACTGTTTTGTAATTTTTTTAGTACTTTGAAGCCTGGAAAATTAATTTTACCCTTTAATTATAAACGTATACCTAATTTGTTCATTTCCATATTTTGTCATTTAAATGTTTGTAATTCGAATAAAAATCAAAAATTTAATGTTTTATGCACTTTGAATTCAATTGATTATGTATTAATAAAATTTGGAAAATCATTAAGTATAAAAATATACTCTTATTTTTATTTACATTAATATAAACTATATATATAGTGATTTATAAAGCACATTACATATAGTTTATAAAAAAATTTAATTTTTGAATTTTGTTGCACACCAAAAATTATTGCGTGTGGAAATTTCAATAGAAAATCATGTGTAAGTTTAATTGCTATTGAAGTTATTTGAATTTATATTTTATATTTCAAATACTACCTATATATTATACATATATAATATTTGTTTTTTAATTAACTCATAAATTAGAAATTAAGGTTGTAAAATTTATTTCTAAATTTGCAGCATTTTTTTTATTATTATATAAGTATATGAATTGCCATTTTGTCAAAAGTAAAAATAAATAGATTAATTTTTTAATATTATTAGAGATAATAATATTAGATTTAGGGTGTAGTAATACTAGATTACAGACGCAAAAAATTTTTAATAATGTAAAACTTTAGTAAAAATCACAATAAATTGCAGTAAATGTCGCAGTGAATACAATGTTTATTAAAATTTAATTCATTTATATTTCAATTAATGTTTTAAATAAATAATAAAAATATGTTTTTATTAATCTTTTATAAAAAGCATCCATAGAAAATAAATAACATAGTGAGAGCTTATTTGGTTACAATTACGACGTATATGTATGTACGTCAATTCGCAAGAAGAAAAAAAATAAATTTTTATTTTACGTCTGTTTTCGTTTTTCTTTCCTTTGACATAAGTATATATATATATATGCATGAAAATAATTTAACAAACAAAGGTACATTATGTAAGCAAAATTGTTAAAGTGAAATCCTAAATAATTCTCAATTATTATAGAATTTGTAATAATTTGAGTTCTTTAAGTTTAATTACAGTCATACGTTTTTGTTTTTGTTATTCAATTTTTAGTTTAATAAATATTTTTAATATTTTTAATATACATATACATGTCTTTAATTGTTATACATATAATATAATGAAAATTTCACTGATATTGCAATTGCTCTGCGCATTCAAAAAAAGAAGTGCTGTGCAAAAAAATAATTTTATATTTGTTTCAGTGTATAAATTATCGCTTTGTTACATTGAGAAAAAAGTTTGCTTTTCTTTAAATTTTTTTTTTTTATGTAATTAGTAAATTTTTATGTATAATATAAAAATAGGATAGATTTTTTGATGTAATTTTTTTTGTTTGTTTTATTGGTTTTTTTTATAATGTTTTTTTTCTTTATTATTGTTTTTTAATGCTAACAAAAAACACACCTTTTTTTCTAATTCACGAGCTCTAGACTTCAAAGACTCTATAGTTTCTGTATCAGATTTTCCGGATCTTAGCTGGGCGAGAGCTTCCTGTAAAACATACCATGCCAACCCATTTATAAAAAAATATTTTATTTTTGAGCTTTTTTGTTTTTTTTTTTTTTTTATTATTTAATTCTTTTGGGGGTTATTTTTTAAAAATTCATAATTAAATATTATGATTTGTCTTATTATATTTGTTTTGCAGTTTTGAGATAATTTTTTTAATTTAAATTATAATTTTTTGTGTTTTTTTTTTCAAAGGAAAATCGAACACTTAATTTTCCATATTTTTTTATTTTAATAAAAAAATAAATAATTATTGTATGTTAATATATTTGAAAATGTATTGTAAGTGTGTATATAAATTGTGAAAGTTTATTAGTTTTGATGGGAAAAGTTTAAAATGTTAATTTTGTTCTTTTTTAACTTTAGTTGTGTATAAAAAACAGAATAGAAGTATTAAATTTTTTTTTATAGTTGTAAAGTTTTTTATGTTTAGTTTTTCCTTTTTTCATTTTTTGTTTTTTCAAATAAACTTTTATATAGAAAAAGGCATACACTTTTATAAAAGTTGAGATAATTTTAAAGTCACAAGTATATAAAATACACAAAGTATATTGAAAAACAAAAATATATAGAAAAAAAAAATGAATAAATAAACACTGATCGAATTTGCTTACCTGATGTGCTCGTTCTGCTTCACTTCTTCTTGCTTCTGCTTCTCGTAATTGTAAACTGAGTGAGTCTAACATTGCGTCAGACACTCCCAGTGGGTCGTATGACATCGTCTACAAGAAGAAAATGTATAGTAAAATTATTATAGAATTAAAAATATGTACGTATTGCATATATACGTATACACATATGTAATTTTATGTTTGAAAAACTTAAGCATTTAGAAAAGTTTTTCTAAAATTTTACAAAAATAAGAAAGTTTCTTTTTTTTTATACAGTTTTTTTATAGTTTAAGAACTAATGCCATTTGAGTATCAGCATAGGAATTCAAATTCTTATTATTAAAATTTTATATTATCCAGATTAATTATAGTTATATATAATGTTTAAAAATTTAAAGTATTGCTATCTTTTATAAATAAAATTTATTTTTAAAATATTCTCAAGGGGCATAAGGTAATGAAAACCTTAAAAATATACGAGTATAAGAATACCTTTCATGCACTGCAAAAGAAAAAAAAACCTAAGGAGTTTAGTTAAAATATAAATGTTGCATAAATATGCGTATGCTATGTACGAGTAAATGCGTTTGAATCTTCTTGTTTTCTTATTACATTGGTCATATGCTCAGCGTTATCAGGCTTTACTCACAAATTTTGTAATATAAAAAATGAAGTATACTACGAAGAAGAACTTAGCAGTCAAATTTTAGCTAAAAAGTAGGTCAGAGTCAAACACTTTACAATGCCATTGCAAAAATTTTGCCACTTGGGATAACAGCATTATAATTTGAATTGCATCAAATTCTGCAATGACCAATTGGAAAATAGTAACAAAATAAGATATTAAAGTCCGTAAATCAACATTAAAAAGAATATATTCATATCTATAATAATGAAAAACTTCTTTATTCACAAGCAAAAGAGACTATCATAGACAAAATATCGCATAAACTGGAATATTAACTTGAAATTCTCTAAGAATAATATTAAACTTCTTAGTGTAACATCTTAATCTGCGAGACAAAATTAAATTTAGAAAGAAAAAGTTAAGTTTTGAAAATTAAAAGCGCAATTTGTTGAAAAAAATTGTATTCCACAGTCCAGTAGGTAGACTTATGAAAAAATTTTAGGTTCAGTTTTCTGACAAGTTCAAGATTTTTTTCATAACGTATAGCTCGATTTTCTAGCAAAAGAGTATCGAATGTGAAATTTAGTACTCATATAAAGAATATCTTTCGAAAGAAAACACTTTATCGGCCACTTTATATATGTAATAATTGTATTACAGGCAAAAAAATTAAAAAAATATATATATTTTTATTTTTATTCAGTTGTATCTTGACCAAAAAAAAAAACTCAAAATATAAATTTATAATTCTTTTAACATTTAATTAAATTTCGTGTTTTAAAAAAAATAACAAAAATTCAATATCACACCATTTTAAAATTAATTTTCTCACATTTTTCACTCTTAACATTAAATAATTCTGAAACTAAATTACAGTGCACCTACATTCTCTTTAAGTTTAGACAAAAAATATAACTTATTGTTGATTTGCCACGTACCGTAACGTATAAGTATATAATATACAAAGAATAAAATTGTATGCAATATAAAAACTTGAGTGCAAAGTGTTAATAAATTTTATAAATGATTGTTGACAGTTTTTTTTTTTTTAAAAAAAACTTTTTAAACATCTGTTGCCAGTTGTAATAAGAAATATGAAAAATTGCAAAACAAGTACATACAAAAATTCCCCACTAGATTATTGTCTTCATTTATATTTTTCCACTTAAAGTTAACAGTTTTTGTAAGAATGTTATTGTATTTTTTTCCTTTCATAATACGTGTAAAGGTATTAAAAAAATATTGTGAATGAGGTTATGTTGTTTTTTGTTTTTCCCTTATTTATACATATATACATATATATATATATGTAATTCACTTGTTCTTTGAACATAATTGTCTTATTAAGTGCATATCCAGATAATATACTTACATTTATAAGTATAAATTTTATTGTATATCTAATAATGTTCTTTATACTTGCAATTAAATGAAAAACTAACCAGATCTCTTGCAGGTACAATATAAAATACATATTTTGAATTACAATAAAATTGTGTTGAGTGTTTAGTGTTCTTAAGTAGAGTTTTTGTTTTAAAATATCAACTTCAAAATTTAATTGAAAGTTTTTGAAAAAAAATTCAGCTAATCAGATGTGTATATTGTAAAAATACATTGTAAGACAATTAAGTGTTACTAAATATCCCTTCAAGAAGTATATATACTGTATATATAAAAAATTTAATGCTAAGCGTTATTTAAGTTATAATCATATTATATTTATTATATTAGTTTAAGCACAATGAAAAATAAATTGCTTCAGTTTATCTATGTAGGTATCAAATTGCTCAACAAAAATTAAGAGAAGCGTGAATTTCAAAAAACTGTAACAGTTTTCGAAAGATAAGAAGCTAAATATTAACATCTTGAGAGGCAATAAGTTAGAAGGAGAGAGAAATTAGGAAGGATTTTTATATGACAAAATAAACTAGTTTGTAATTTTATACCAACTGTTGGAATCTAACACTAAAAGATAAATTACGTCACAAATTGGAGGTCTTTATTGAGCTGAAAAAAAATTGCTAAAAAAAATTTATATATTTTCGAAATTATTAGCCCATATATGTATAAAACAAACTAGCTAATTTTGGTGCGATTATGGGTCAAATCGCGGAAATTGGCTCATTACCAATCAGCAAATTTATTTATGTATATTTTTTAATATTTTCTTCAATTGCATATAAATAATTATTTAAATATTTCAAGATTAGATGCCCTTATAACACATATCTAATTACTTTTTAAGATGTCAAAGTACGCTTTGATTTGTGGATTTTATTCAATTTATATTTAAATAAAATAATTTGCTGAATATAATTAATTCGCACAATATACATACAATAAAGAAGAAAAACATAAAACTAATTATATAAATTTATTAAAATTTAAATATGTATATGCATAATTGCATATATTATAATAAATTTTAAAAAAATTTACATACATACCTTAAAATTAATTAAATTGGTGTATTTGATATCCTCACAGTGTTATAAAAATTACAGCACTGCTACGATTGAATTGCTATTTCGTCCTATGGTCGTTCAGCATTCTTGTTATTTAAACTTTTCATATATATTTTTCTATATACATACATATGTATATATTGTATAATATCTTAAGTTACCTTCACCTTAAAATTAAATATTAAATTTAATTTAATGTTATATAGTAAAAAAAAAAATAAAATTATTCATTTTAGTTATTTTTTTTTATAAAATATATTAAAAAAAATTTATATTAAAATTTAAAGAATTTTCTATTTCCTTTTAATTTTTTTTTGTACATTATTCAAAAAGTCTACTAAGTTTGAAAGTAAAATATTGGATTTAATTTTCATATAAATTTTCTTAATGTAAAATGAAAAATTATTTTTGACAATTTTTCATATATGTATGTATGTACAAACATAATGCAATCCAACTACTTTTTCCGGTAAGCTTATATATTTAAATTTAATAAAGTAAGTTTTTTAACTTATAGTTTATACACATTCATATAATAAGTTGAATGGTTCATATACATATACATACATGTTCCAAATTTATTTATATAAATATATATATAATAGTAATATATATACATATAATGGTAATATATATAATAGTAAAACAGCAACAGGTTGCTTATAAAATCAATTTTTCTTTTAAAAATATAAGTAATAATAATTTCCACTTTTATAATTGAAACGAATAAAATTCTAAGTAGTAAACTAATAAAAACAAATTGTATTAAACAATAATATATTTGATAGATTTTAGTATTTAATAGCCAAAAAATTATTTGTTTACACGATTATATGAAATTCTCAAACTGTTATATAACAAAAGAAAAAAAAAGTAAAAAAAAAGTATGTCAGTATCTTTTCTTTCAAAAATTAATAAAAAGAGACAGCTACGTTAAAAGTCAGGGGACCGATCAATAATATTTCTTAAACAAAATCAAATTTTACTAAGCGCATTATGTGAGCTCAGTAAAAAACACTGATTGCAAGATTTAATTTTTGAAATACATATTAAAAAAAAATAATCAAAGTAAATATATCAATAAAAATCGAATTCAAAATCGACAATTTCATGATTAAAAATAAGAATAGAATTGGTTTATAAATTTTAAAACAAAATCCTAATTCATTCTAATATTTATTTTAAGAGACTATATAATAATACAACGTACCGGCTGTTGGGTAGCAATAGCTAAACATTAACAGTAATAAATATTAAAATTATATATGCATATATATACACATATATTTCAAAATTAAAAATATTGAACATGTTGAGAAACTGTTATATGTGACTGAAAATCAAATACTGTTATACTTTTTTATATACTCATATAATAATAAATTATCAATGTTACAATAAAAATTTTTTTTCGGTTTTTTTTTTTTGTTTTAAACAAAATGACTGCAACTCTGACTAACGTTTCCGAAATTTTTGTAAACTCACGTAATATTTTTCTGAGTAATCGGAAACATTAAATGCAAATTTAACAAACTTATTTTATTGGAAAAAAAAGAATATTATTTTGCTAAATAAATTTCAGTTGAACGGGAAAATACATAAGGAAAAAAAGAAAAACTGGCTATGTATTTGAAATTATAGAAAAAAACAATATCCTGGTCATATTTGTATTATTTCTTTAATAATTTATTTTAAGTGGCGAATAGTATGTTAAAAAATCAATAATATAAATTATATGATGTTAGAAAACTATTTTGTAATGCTATCTTTTAATCTAAAATTTTAGCAACTCCTTAACGTCGCACAAGTTAATTTTGTTCATTAATCAATTTTAAAGATTTTTTAGACCTATTAGTTCATTTAATAATTAAGATATAAATTATAATAATATTTATATTATTGACCTTTTTTTTTGAAAATTTCAGAATGTTAATTTTGAAAATTAGATTTTATTAAAATAATTCAATAATAAATTATATTTTATTGCATACATTCGAAGAGAATATTAGAAAAATACATTTAAAAAAAAATTTGTTATACAAAATAATTACAGGAGTAAAATTAGTATAACGGTTAAACAGTTAAATTAGTTAAGAAATGCAATTTAAATTAGCCAAATATAAGAAGAAAAAGTTCCCTTAATCTCATAATATATTAAAAGTTCAATAAAACAAATAATTTTACAAAAAGATATTAAAATTTAAATTTTGCCAAATTTAAGTGTCATAACACTGAGATCAAATGTTTTTTGTATAAAAAAGATTTATATTGAAAATTTCCGAAATTTTCTGAAAAATCTGCTCCTGGTTAAAAATTAGTTTGAAAATTCAATTGAAATATAAAAAAAACCGAAGAAAATTAAAAATAGGCGTATAGCCTGTACATGTATAATCTACACATATTTCAAAAAATCGTCCACATTTTGATTCTTGATTTTGACTGTAGCTGTTTTATTTAAAAAATAATATCGGACATATATTGGCTACTCAAAAAGGAAGGGTTGGCTGCAAAAAAATTAACAGACGATCGGCCTAATGTCTGCATAATATAGACTGTTATAAATACATTTGCAGCACTTTCTTGCAGCGCAGTTTCTATTAATAATGCAAAGTAAAATTTTAATTTTTACCATATGTATTGTCATTTTTTTTTATATTAATTCAAAAAACATTTTAAATAATGTGCTTAAAAAAAGAATGAAATATTTAAATTAAGCAAATATCTCTAAGCGAAATAAAAAGCTGTTATACTCAAATAATTTTTTAATTTTTAATTTTTTTTTTGTGCTGAAAGGAACTGATATTTATAAATATACGAACAACAATGAAAAATTATGATCAACTTTTTAAAATTCAAAAATCTTTAATTATCGTCCTTTCTGCTGTGTATTTAAAATTTTACAAAAGCGAAAATTTTTTCTTACACCCATTTGGAAATTTTTCAATTTTTTTTTTCAATTATAACTTAAGGGATAAGAATTGCAATATTGTATAAAGAAATATTTTGCATTTCAATGAATAAAAAAAAATTTTAATATTGTGATTTTTGTTTCTCTTTTAAATTATACTATGACTACATAGCTTCATAAATATCGGTGTAAACTATTTGAAAAAAAATAGAGAAATAAAATATAAGTAGTGAGCAACAAGAATCTCTTAATAATTTATTTGTTATATGAATAAAATATATATATTCTGGTTTTTTTCCCACTTCTTCGGTATTTTATAATATTTTGAATGGAGCTATTAAAAAGTAATTTATAATATTTTTCTTTTGATTCAAAAAAAAAATAATGATCAAATAAAATATAAAAATAAAATCTAAATTTATAATAGTATGCAATGCAATAAAGTGCGGTAGTGAAATTAAAATCAATAAATTATATATATGTATATATATCGATATTATCGATTTAATTTGAATATATCATTAAGTTAATAAATTATGTATGAATGAATGAATAATAACGAGTAAATAAATTAAAGGAAATTTAATAAAATTAAGGATCAAATCAATCAAAATGATTTGGAAAGTAGCACATTTTTCTTTATAGAAATCAAAATGAAAATTACTCGTAATGTGTTCTCTTAAATGTGTCCTCTTAAATATAAAAGATGACATACTCGTATTCTCTAAATAATCGAATTAGATTTTTTATTTAAGTCAGTCACTGCCTTTATAGAAATTTGATAAATCTGGTATAGTTTCAAAAGAAATGGATAGCTGCAATGCATTGTAAGAATTGTACAAAATGCTTTCAATGTTAAAAGTAACAAGTTACAAATTTTTTTGTATAAAACTTAAAAATCTTTTAGAACAAATGATTTGTTTTGCAATATCTCATGTAAAATAAAAGATTTTTTAACGTTTGATAACTTAAAACTTAAACGAGAAAAATAGAGTTGAAATTGTCAACTCTGTAATACCCGTACGAATTTGTTATCCTATACGTCCAAATAAATATGCCATAACTGACTAAGGGACAGACTATGACTTTAAGTTGCCGTATTACCATATTAATTTATGCAAAATTTCAGTACTGTGTTTTTCAAAATACTGTCTGTGCCAAACTACTATTAAAGTTGCATGGCAGCTACCAAAAGGAGCCAAGAAATTTTAATGAATTTTATGAAGCACATCGGCTCTACTAATGTATTTGCTTCGAACATACGTTCGTACGGGTATAAAAACTGTACCGATTTCTATTTTTAAGCCCTTAAAAATGATATACAATATTGTATTTTTTTTTGAATCACGGTATACAATATAATATTATATCAGTAACTGTATACACTTAGACATGCATTGAGTGTAATATCAAGTACCGATAAAACTTGTAACTGTACTGTGCCGATATGAAAGCAATTTATAAAAAAAAAAGTTTTTCATAATCTGAAATTTTTTATATTTATACACAATTAATATTTTTTATATAAAAATAAATTTATATATATTTATATATATATATATATATATATATATATATATATATATATTTTTTTTTTTTAATTTGTATTGAATTGTATTGAATTTAGCTTCAAGTGATGTGAAAATGAGCATATATTCATCGTTTCTAATCAATTAAAAAAGTATTTGTACTTTTTTTTATACATATTAAATATGTGTATTTTAATATTAATAGGGTTGCTCATTTCATGGCATGTTTTTAGTAGTCTTGTTTTTGTGACACACATATTATTATATTTATAAGAACTGTCATCTAAACTCTCAAGAGATGAGCTCAAAGTTTATATGCCAATTTGAAATACAAACCTTGTGGTATATTTGTGAAAAGTTGACGTTTTTTTGTTAAGGCGCACGTTATTATAAAAGTTATATGAATGGTAATATCGAAATTTTATATGTTAGCACTTTTTTTATTTACTTTTGCAACCAAAAAATACGGTGAACCCTATATTACGATATATGTATGTATAAAGTAAATAAAATATTTTTCGAGTTTTTTTTTATTGATTTCAAAATAAAATAATTGAATAGAAAGGGAGGCATATTGTGTTTGCTTTTGAAACAATAATGAATGTCTACAACTTTTATAATAAATTTATGTACCTTTACTTTATATACTTTAATTTGTGTGTATGTAAAAGTTAATAAATTAATTTTTTGTATACATACTTATATACATATATATTTTGTGACAGTATAC